ACATCCCCGCCACTTGTTTGGCCAATATCTCGTATGCTTGCTCTGCCGGGGTCCTTGGGTGGACTACGGTGGGACTATCACGTTGCAGCGTTGCTTCATCAGTCTGAACGACCGGTAACTCGCACCACTGGCCATTCACATAGGTTCGGAATTTGTCACACTGGAAATACCAGGCCACCTTGTGTTCAGTCAGCCAATCCAAACCCAAGACTAAGTCATAGGCAATGGGTCCCACTAAAATGTCCCCGGAAAAACGTGTGTGTCCGCACCACAGCGTCAATCCCGTCACAACCTGATCAATGCGTAGTTATGCACCTGTAGCTATGGTGAACCTATGTTCTTTCGGAAGTCTCTGCACTTTCAGCTGCAGTCGTTCGACTATTTTAGGACTAATGAAACTTCTCGAAGCCCCAGTGTCCAAGAGGGCCTCACAAGGACTCCCTGCGAGCTAAACGCGAAGTACCGCCGTCGCACCCGCACAACACAACGCTCCCCCTTGCTCGTAAGACTCTTTCGTGCAAGTCTCCCTCCACCAGTGTGGCACAATCTCTGTCGCGTCTGACCTATAGCCGTCTTCTGTTGCCTCTGCAGACTTCCTGCTGCTATCCGTCGTCGCGTCCGGAATCTCTTCACTCAGGATCGACGCTGACCCAGACTCCCGCCGCGTTTCCAAAAGCGGCTGAGTCCCTTCCGCGCGCCCTTCGCTCGTATTAGCTCTTCCCGCAGTGCTGAGGAGTTGATTTCCCCGCTCAAGGGAGACTGGAATGGCATTAGGGCCTGTCGCTACCGCACACATCATCCCTTTCCCATGGCTACGCGGCCTAGAACGCTCGTCTCCTACCACGCCTAGGCCCGCACGTTTAATCGTTCCGTCTTCTCAGTGCTAGGGCGGGTGGGCGCCCTACTGCTCTTGTCCACCGACTCGGGCCGGACTCGTTCATACGTAGGACAGTCCCGAGCATAGTGTCCCACACCGCCATACTTCTTGCAGATTTCCCCCGGACGTCTGGTACGTTCCCCTTTGCTGGTGCAGATACGTGCCGGATGTCCGCGACTCTGACACTCAAAGCAGTTCGCGTGGGTTCCCCGAGGGCGATTTTCAATTTCCTGGCGCCCACGAGGTCCATTGGCTTGGACGATAGCTCCAATGGCTCGACTGGTCCTTTCTCGGAGTTCCAGCACACTCTGCTTGGGCTCGTAGAGCTGTATTGCGGCGGTTGCCGCTTGTTCCCACTACTGATATTTCACTTGTCCGTTACTGATTATTAGAAGATGGAGGTCTGTCGGTAGCCCGGTGCAGTAATAGTCCGCGAGTTCGTCGGGGGCAAAACCCAACCCACGCTCCGCTACAGCCGCGAACTGGTCCGTGTATTCCTTCGGGTTACCATTCCACCGTACTTTAGCCAACTCCGTTAACAATTGACTCTGCGACATTGTTCTGTCAAACTGCTTCAAAAGCCTGCGCTGTACTGTCGCCCAGTCGCTTAGGTCGGTTAGGAGGGTCCTATCCTCCTCCAGTGTTGCGACCCCTTGTATGTCGCTAGCTAGCTATCGTCTCTAGGACACTATCCAGCCCCATTGTAGTGCCTGTGCACTAAATATCGTCTTTCGATGCGCAGAAAAAATCCCAGAAAAGTGCTGCCGTTTTCAGGTAGTATGCGAGACGTTGCGCCCGATTCCCCGGTTCCGCCTACAACATTTCTTATCACACTCATAGCGGAGTGGAATTTGTTCCACGTGACGTAGGAACTGCTGCATGGCATAACATTGGCTACAGGCACCACCTTTGGGGGCACCTCCTTATGCCCATGCGGCCGCTCTGCCACGGTGGGTTTCGGAGTAGGATGACGAAAATGGGCCGATGTCCCGCTAGGCATTTTGCTTACTGATATTGTAGAAGTCTCGTGTTATGTGGGCCGATAACGTGTCCGCTGCGGAGATGCTTCCCTTAGCGAGCTAAGATATCTAGGTGTGAATCATTGAGACAAAGTATTTCTACTCTCAGGTCAGGAAAGAAAAAGAATTTCAATCCCGGAACAGCCCCCAAATGTAGTGCAAAGCGCCTACTGCTGCGACTACGCTGTTACGTGGACGACAAATAGAGCGCCCTATGGAAAACCTTCTACCTTCGACGCATCTCTCATGAAACAAATACCCAAATATCAATAATCGCTGTCATCATTCAAGTCCTGAAATCGATTTTCCTTAAAAGCTTCCCGCACTTAGGGTTCTTGCTTCCTTGGCCCTGTGGGGCGGTGGCCCGCACCGGTGCCGGCCCTATCGCCAGACCCAATCTTCAGGTATATACGGACACGTCTAGCCTATACATGCTAATTTGCTGATAAACTGACTGACTTCCTTACTAGTAAGAAGTTCCTGTTTTCGTTCATCGTGTTAATCGTGTTAACCTCTTATATATTACCAGCTAGCTATCTTTTTAAGGTCACCAGCAAGCGCTATTGTAGTGCCTGTGCACTGCAGGGACTGTTGTGATAGATCAGCTACAGCTGTAGCGAGTGGAATAGTTGTAGATCGCAGCGCCATAGTGTAGCCCAGAAATGACCTTTGGGATCAAAGCATTATGAAAACGTCAATTGAAGTAATCTCCAGTGATGATACTGTACAAAAAGGCGTAGCCGTTGGGCGGGAAGGCTTAGTGTACTTTGCAGCTCTTGGCCCCGAGAGTAGGAACTGGCAAATGGGCAGAAGCTGCAGAGTGTACCAGAGCCACTTAGGGGAGTCTAAAGACCCGGTAAAAACGGATGTATCTCTTGACGAAAACGTCATAAGAATGTGAATTCTGGGCATTTTCTCCTATACAGGAGGTGCCATAACGAATATTGATAGATATGCGCCTACGCAGCCGGCTACATGGGAGAGCCATTTGCAGTACGAGCCAGGCTTAGTTGTCTGCGCCTGTTCTTCAGCGCTCACAAAGGAAGCGGACTGCTCCCAGCTGCTTTAGCTCCTTCGCCAGTTGATAGCGGATACTGGCAGAAGATCACATAGCCTACCACCAGATGTCCGCAGCATATTAAGAGGAGAAACCTGGTTAGGTTACGCCTGGTGAGCCACCCCAATCCGACCCTTTCACTATTAAGCAAGGTAGGAGCACATTTTTTGGGAATTCGTCTTACTCTGGGGTGTAGTCTTTCCGCAACATTGTGTGTCCAACTGCGATTTACAGGTGTAGCCAACAATGCGTGGCTGGATAGCTGCAGTCGAGCCCATCCTACAGAGTCCTCTAAGGTCCTGCTTGCGGCACGCACTTGATTCTTGCAAGAAGGGTGGCATTCATCTTGTCGTTTCCCTGTCATTCACCCTCACTGTTCAAGTGATCCCCTAATACTTCTTCTGATTTTATTTCTGGCGACTGGGAGGGCCCCCATGAGGCAGGCCCACAAGGTCCATTCGCCCCCTGAGCGCGCCGCAAGTTACTCAATACAAGGAACACGCCTTTGCTTAGAAAATCTTGAAATTCTTCGTTCACTTGGTAAGCCTTTAACTTCGTTCCCAGCGCCTTAAACCGCAGCTTCCGCGCAGACATCGTCAACCAATCCTTTGGGGGTGTTCAGATCTTAGCGGCCAACTTCAAGGCCAAGGCTTGTAAGTTCTGCTTTTCAATCTTCATGCGCCTTTTTATTGCCCCTCTTTATTTCAAGCAGCCAACTTTTAATCAACAATACTACAGATTACGTGCCAGCACCAAGCAATAGCATATCTTACAGTGTGCTGCGATGGAGCTCTACGAGGATACGCAGCATAGGACGAAAAAGGAGCAACTAATAGCTCTGGACACCGCTAACCCTTTATAGAATGCAAGGGGTAGCAAGTAGAGACCAACTAAAATCAGAGCTCTAACTATAAAAAGCTCCAGCATGAACAGAACTATTCTTTCCCCACGCTCGGAGCTCAACACTAACACGGTCCAAGCGCTCTCAGTGAGGGTAGGAGGGGAAAATCCCGGGACTGCCATGGAGGATCGCTGCTATGCCACTTAAAGACAGCAATAGATCTGCACTTTAACAGAGAAGATGCGCATTCGCTGTTGCCAAGAGTGCGCAGCGAACTAAAGCGTCCGCGTGTACGTGTAATCGAGGTTAAATTGTGAGCAATGCCTAGTAGTACGTTGTCACCAACAAAAGACTAAAGCCCAAACTGCTTGCAAATGAGGGCACCTGAACTCTCATGCATGCAACATTGCAAAAGTGGTAGCCGAGCGCAGGCATCCATGTTGAACCCTCTGCATATCAGTGCCAGGGGCACAGCGCCCACGTAATCCCTAAAGTCTCCAGAACTCTTCGCTCCCATTGAGTTTTTCTACTGAAGAGAAAACCATATAGTACTTATCTCAACTTTTCCTTGACAATTCACGAACCTGCGTGCAAGCCTGCAAAATGTTACGAACGCTCTTGGAGTTAAGGGCGATACCTCTCCAGTTTGCAATGCGCCTGCTGGTGAGCTGCTTTCGTCATTTTGACATGACTTTCCTTTCTGTTTTGCCTACCTAAAGTCAACCGAAAACAATAAATGATCCTTGCGCTTTTGTTTAAACATTGACTCACTGCGCGCTGTGGACAATCGAGGAGTAAAGGCACGGCCCGCCGTTGCTTGCTGTTGTCTCAGATCCCACTCACGAAGAAAATTGAAACAGCATTTGGCCTTGGAAGCTCTGAAAGTTCTATTACTTGCGCTTCAGTCATGCAAGCAAGTTAATTGCAAGCTTAGCTTCGCGCTCTTCACAGGGACTGTGAGCGATCAGCGTTACGTGCGTTGCAGAAGCTCATCCCCATTTACGGGTGTGCCGCATGTGAATGACTTTTAGTTCCAGACTGATTAGATGAAAACCAAATACGCTTGCATTCTGACTCTGATGTAGTTTGCGGAGCTGAAGCGCAAAACAAAAGAACTATCTATCAAGAGTGTGTCCAAACAACTGGGCAAAGCGTTGGACCATGCGCAAGGAAGGAATTTTGGCAGCTGAAAAACTGTGCACTACACTAAATGGGGCTCTAAACCACAATGAAGGAACTAAAGCTGGAATAAATGCCGCATTTATTATATATGGCACTCCAATGCTTTCTCGTTGAAACAGGTCACGTGCGGGGATCGTGGGGTGGCGCACAGAACGCTGGGCAATGACGTAGCGTGATGGCTCCTCTGCATGCTCTGCCTCTACCAGAACTTCTCCACATTAAGGTCAACGTTTATTTCGCCTTTTTATTATTTTGTTGCCTTTTAGCTTTTCTTCTCACCTCAATTTTCCAGAAACAGTTATTTCTAGGATGGTGGCAATAGCCTGTCACAGCCTCGCGCTGTTGACAATTGCTGCTTGCGCAGTTACGGCTTTGGGGGCCGATGAAGTAAAGGATGGGAATCAAAATGTTGCTGCTCAAGTATCTGAAACAAATGAAGGTCAAGCTGCTATTCCAGGTAGAAAGGGAGTCAATCCCGTGCTTGCTGGCGCAGCCGTTGGCTCGACTTTGTTTCTTGCCCTTCTTTTGTTCGGCATGAAGGTCCTCGGCAGAATGGTTGTCCAAACAGATTCCAAGGTGGGAAGTGCGAGTGCATCTTGACATGTGGTTATGCAGAGAATGAGACATCGATTTGGCTCCCTCTCCCTCTCTCAGCACAACCCTATGTGCCACGCTTGTTGTGTTCCGCAGACGGCCGGCCCAAAGGTTGCGGAAGTAGTTTTTTCCGGTGTGGGTGCGTGCACAACCATACAGTCCTTCCAGCTATTTCGAGACTTGCTTGCCTGTCGACTTTTCGCTCGCATAACGTGTATGAGTGCCTCCTCTGATGGTGTATGCAGACAGCTTCACTTTGTCCACTGAGGCTTACACTGCCTGGGTTGAAGTCCTATACGAGGTGCGTAGCAGTACAGTATCTGCATGCCGTAAGTAAAGTTTGGCGATTTGTATTTTTTGGATGCGCTCTATGGTGCAACGCGGAAGAGCGGATCGATGTTTCCTCAGGGGAAGGCAAAGCAGACATTGAAGAAATTACAAGGAAGCTCAAGGGAGTCATGTCTTGCGGACAGCGGACGCACCATTCAAAGATTCCTTAAATCCATAAAAAGTGGGTATCAGTGTACTGTTTGCTTGATAAGCCTCGCCGACTTGGCTGTGCACATTGTCGCTATTTTGACGCATTCTTCCGTGTGTTGTTTTCAGCGGATGGTGAAAGATCCCTTCTTCTCCATGTAAGTGACGAAGAAATCATCGTTACATTTGATCTGAGGCTCATGCAGCCATAATGGAAACAAGGTGGAGCGAACACGTCTCCCAATGGCGATAGCATTCTTCGTCTCAAGTTCCCATGGGGGTGGTAGGAGGTGGACTCGGCACCATGACAGTGGGCACCGATTGGCTTGTTTGTAAATTTTGAGATGAATTCGGGCATTTTCGTAGGCTTGGAGGTCCGAGGCTTGCGCTGCACAGGGTGTTACCCCCGACGCATTTGCTTGTCGGGCCCCCTCTGGGAAGGGGAAATGATGTGCAACTTCGTCGCATTCACGTTGACTCCCCGTTTTTTTTCGCAGCCAGCTATCATTGGAGTTTTTAAATAGGAGAACCGGAGGTTCCTCTTCCGCTTCCCTGGATGTTACCTGCTTCCGTTCTCTCCCTCTGACTTACAACCACAGGAGACGAGGCAGATGGGCCTCGTCCGTCTATATATTTATTGTAGTTTGAAAGCCGTCATTCATTTCTTAGTGGTTAGTTCTTAGTAGTATGGCGACGACGTGCGGAATGCGCACTTATATCTTGAAACGGTGAGGACACTGTAGGGAATGAGCATCGACTTCCAAAGAGTGCGTGGAGGCGAGAACGCATACGTTTTTGTCAATGAAAGCATGCATAGCTTCTCCGCCATTGAGCTTCCGTATGTAGATGTGGTGAGATACTACTTGTGCTCCGTGAGGGAGCCTATCCTTGCGGTGTTCATTGGAAACCTCTCGAGGCGCTGCAAGTTGTATAAGCCCAAGATCCGGACACTCCACTCCCAAACAGTCTCATGCATGCATCATCTCCCCCATGGTGCCTGCTGTCTTTTGCTGAGTACTGAAGGCGTTGCGAGCTTTCTTCCCATTAAGCCGTCGGCCAAAGTACCTTTACGAATCGCTGCCCACCATAAGGTGAAACTGCACGTTCGTCCTTTGCCACATTTGTTCGAGCTTTTGTTTCACTTACACACTTATATATATTGCTAAAACTGTCTGAGGAATTTCTCCACAAATGGGTAGCTTCTGAAGCTCCAGCCCTAGAGTGGCCGTCCAGCATGCAATCCGTCTTCTGCTTCATCAGTAGACATAACCTTCGGACCCACAGACGGAAATCCTTCAACTCCATCTCGTGGATGTTCGATATTTTATGGGACATCTTCAAATGCTGACGGGTTATCGTCATCCTTTGAGCAGCATCGAGTCTGGTGGCACATAGTCAACAAGGCCCAGCTCAACACGCTCTGCGATTAGAACCTGCCAAATCATGTGATTTTACGTTAGGTGTTTCTCAATGGAAAACCCCCACTGTCTGCATACCTTGGGAGTCTGGTTTATTGAGTGCAGACACTCGGAAATCACGAAGTTACAGACGTGACTCCCGTGGGCTTCATCATTTCGATTCATCTTTTTTCCAGGAACTGAGTTGTCACACAGCGTCTCTTTCTGTTCTTTTTACAGGCAAAACAATAAATTTTGATGGAAAATCTGGTATTCGGACCGGGCCTCGTACAACTAACTGAGTTGCCGACGCACTAACCACCAGATGGGACTTCTTATCTGCCTGGTGAAACCTGACGGGTTTAGAAACTGTGCGGCAGCAAAATACTGTTCCGGCACGGTGTCGCTTGCTTTTCTCCTCGCAGTGGCTTTATGGTTGGGGGGTAGAAAGGAAGTGTCAGCGGCACTGCTGTCTCGCCCCACGATTGTACCCCTCGCGGCCCGTCGCGAGCTGCTCGGGAGCTTCTCTCTTCTTAGTACAAAAGCCTTGCGCACTCCTGCAGCATGTCGCAGCAGAGTCTGTACCTTTATGCCGCGTTCTCGAAGCGTGCCTGCAGTACTGCCTTCGTGGAATTCGTCAATTCCAGAGCACGCGGAGGCTATGATGCCCGGGGATTGGGACGTCCACTGGAAGGCACAGAATGGCGATGCGGGAGGTACACCAGACGTGTCCGCAGCAAATGCAGCGGCAGAGGCGATAAGGAAAGCCGCTGGAGCTAGCGAAGCAGAAGCTTTTTCGCGCCTCTGGGAAGCTCTGCGGGGTGGGAAGTTTTTGTCGTTGTCCTTGTCCAACAACCGTGTGGCAAGTTTAAGAATTTTGCGCAGCTGGCCCGTGAACAACACTCTTTCCTTTAGGGGTATATGGCAGGTTAGGGCGAGGCCTTTCCTCCCTGCTGTCCTAGAAGTAGAACTGGGGTTCCCTTCCGAATTACCGGAAGTCATTTTGATTTTACGTGCGCCCCTTAAAACTGGATCCTGGTTGAGACAGGTGCCCCAGCTGGTGTCCGGAGATGCAAGCCTTTCCTTTTCACCTTTCTTTCCCTGGAACACCCAACGTCTGGGGATTGTGGAAATCAGTCCACGGAGAAAGCGCCCAACTGTTGACACGATGCTGCAGTGAACATCAGTTCTTATCGGGAAGGTCAAGCAAACTTACGTGCACAGCGTACACGTGCAAACCGCGCAGTTTGTCCACAGCCAGGCAACCGTTGGATTTCCTCATCTTGCTCGTGAATCAAGAAGGGATGAAGGCAACCGTGTGGCACGGTGTACGGGGAGTTCAGGTTCCACCCTACCCCGGCAGTCTACTGCACTTACGGGCGGAAATATAATTGGTGGCGTGCGCATGCGTGTCGCACCACCTGTAGGGTGTGACATCCAAGCACTGAAAAAGGAGAGGGCACCGTCCAAGCATAATAGCCCCACAGGAGATTTTCGCTTCGCGAGACTATTGGAATCACTAGACCGCGGGGGATACTCGAGCCTCTTAACAGTAGCAATTCTGCACTGCGTTACTTTCAGTGGGCGCATGCACTTCTGTGTGCTGTTTTCTCGTCAACTTGACCTAATGAGACACGAACTGCAGTTGCGAGTGAACGTTGTGAAAGCTGCAAGGGGAAATGCGCGTAATAAAATTGCGACTTATCCCTGGCCGCGAAGGTTGGGCTAGGAATCCCTTCGTTGATGGCATTAACTGAGGGACACCACAAAGTATGGCTTGGACCTGCCGAAAAATTTACACTGTGAGCATGCGTATGCCTTGACCACTGCTAACATGGAGCTGGTGTTCATTGGCATGCTGGCCAATGCATTCATTGGTCTTTGGGATGCGCCCCAGACGATGGGTCGCTTGTTTCATTTGTTTGGGGGTTTGGCCTCCGCACGTCAGCCACTATGGTAACCGGAACGCCAGCAACTTGTACAGTACAGCTTGATTCGCCTTCTCCTAAAAGCATCACAACGCAACATATAGAACTTACATGCGTAGTTTCCTTCAGAGGAAAATACACCGAGTGAGCCGAAAAGTGACCTACCTTTTCCGCAATCAAGAAAAGTTTGAAGAGCGCTTGAGTTCGTGTCCTTCCAGTTTTGCTTCTCAGTACCAGTCAACTTTCTGATTGCACTAACCGGTTGCTGCAGAGGGCACATCGCATCTGCTGCTGCGCACATTGCACTACAACACATTCGGTAACTCGAACTTTGGGATGTTCTGGCGACAAACCCGGAGTCGTGGAGCCGCTTGCGCCTCACCTGTGCTGTTATTTCAACCCAGGCAGTGTACTTGTTAGTTACTAGTGTAAAACTTGCTGCGGACAAACAGAAAAAGCCCAGCTGCAGCCCCTGCACGCAACCTCAATCGAGATGCTACGAAAGCCCGATCGTGGTGCAAAGAAACTTTCGCAGTTCTTGTCGGAAGTCATTTCCTTCTAGCTCACAAGTGAGATTTAACACTTCTTCAGCGAGCCTCTTCCCAGCGTCCTGAAGCAAAAGTAGCCGAATATTACATGGTACGGAACTTTCGATCAACTTGAGGAAGAACGAATCCCAGTCCGTAATCTAGGGGGAAAGGGCAAACGCCTCTACATTACCTACCTCAGCGTTCACTTCGACAATTTTCGTGCCGAGAACCTTCAAGCCAAAGTAAACAATGGCAGCAAGCAAGGCCGCACCGAAGGCCGCTCCACCAAGGATGGGTTTGACTCCAAGTCTCGCAGGACGCGATCCCTCTGGCCGTGGTGATTTCTCAAGGCCGATTGCTATCAATGATTCACTTCCTCCGGCTTCTTCTGCAGCCAAAGCGGAGGCTGCGCAAGCTGCAATCACCAAGAATGCCAGACTGCGGCGTGCAAGTGCCACCATTTGCAAGGCAGGTGCTTCTACGAAGTAAATACAACGTGGAAAAATTATGGAACCTCGTATCGCATGGTGACAGCACAAAATATATGAAAAGCTTAACGCTTATAGCAGCCAGCTGCTGCTTGGCTGCCTCTAGCTCTTATACCCCGCTACCACCACTGTCCCCGAAGGGGACCCCGTGATGGTTTCGCATGTTCCATTAAACATTTGTCGTGGAATGCCAGTATTTTCAACATTTCTGCTATTTTATATAGCCGATGCAAATGTCTGGGCCCTTTGCCATCATCAGTTGGTTGTAGTTTCGCTTCTGGCTTTTTTGAAGCACTTGTGACGTTCAGTCACTCGTGGAGGAATAAGCGTTCCACGCAATTTTTTCCGAAACTTGCTGCCACCAACACTTGCCTACAAGATAAATTTAGAATTCAAGAACTGTCGTAAATATGTTGACGCGGTTATCCATAGAATTCGGCCTTGGCGTGGGCAGAGCTGAGACTAGTTCCTTGTGACCTGTGGGGTTGAAGTTCTGAAGCCTTCCCCACAGTAGTTCTTGCAGAGCTATGCTTCGTGCACTCTGTCTGTTTAACTTATTTATTTCTGACCTAAGTGATAGTGCCAAGTGACACTAGAAGGACTTGGTGACGAGTCATATCCTCATGTGATGCGGCGACACCTGCGTTCTCTTGTCATGTAGGGTGTCTTCGAAAGTGTAAAGCCTGGTGACTTTACATTTGCACTCATTTGCGGATTCATATCTTGTGCTAAGCCTCTACTTTAAAGCCTTCTCAGCGGCTTCTCACTCACACTCAAGGAAGGCGCCTAGGAGCCTCCTAGAATGCACTTAAGCAAAAACTTTGCTCAGCGTGAGCGCAAAATTGAAGGGAGATGCAGAAGTCAGTTGCGTTTGATTCACATAAGTGCATTTCACTTGAGTGTCTTAGTGCAGAAAGTACTGTCGCGGACACTGTCGCGCAAGACACCATGGGTGCCGTTCGGGGCATTAAGTCCCTGAATTACAGCAATGAATTTTTTAAGTCATTCAAGAGCCTGGCCAGCCTTGCCAAGCACAGTATGGTCCATTCTGCCAGGGGTCGAATATAGTGCTCTGCCGGCGACCTCTGCAGTATGCTCCGGGTTCAAAGAGTTGAAGAGAATGTGTAGCGAAAATTTCCTTTGCAGAGCATCGCCCTGAGGTGACCCGAGAGCGCAGTTCTACTTTTCAGTATCCTTGAAAATGCTTTTCCCAAATTAGTCACTCGTCATACTTAAGCATTTGTACGTTTTTGAGAAGAGCTGGAAAGACACAATATCAGCCGATTACGAAAACCGAGTAGATTCCATGCCCGGTTTTATACACTACAAAAAGAAGTCGTTCTGGAAGTCTTTAAACCACTGTACATCCCCACTTGAAGATAGCAGCCCGTATCCAGTTCACTTTTGGACCTTGAGACAGTGTGCATCCCCAAAGAACGGCCTGCATCCCCTCAGCTGCCGCGTCTCAAGAGCACCTGGAGAATCCATACCAAAGATGTCCAGAAAACGCCGTCCAAGCGGGGAGCCAGCAGCCCACAGCAAACCATGTATTAGAGCCAACCAAAAAGCCTAACTCTAGAAGCATGAGAGATTACAGAGGTAACAAGACCATACGGCAGCTTTTCCCCTTCTGCACAGGCCGCGGTGCAGCTGTTGACCAGATAAATCTCATTCAAAAAATGGCAGCCAAAACTGAAGACCTAGGGAAAAGCCAGTAGCAAAAGGGTTTAGGGAGGGCAGTTTTAAAGCCCATTAGTACCCAGAACACCTGTGATACATTGCGCTTCTAGAACCGAGTGTACGGCCCTTTATCTACGCGGGCACAAAGTGGCTCCTACGTGTCCTCTGTAGCAAGCTGGCCTAAAAGCTATCCTCCAGCTTCCCCGAGAGTGCACTTGAAGCCACTGTTTGCACAAGGTCTCATTTGACAAAGCTGACAAAGAACGGAAGCGTTCCCTTCTGTTCAACTTCAAATGAAAGGACCTAAGTAGCAAAAATACATTTTACATCAGTCCCAGCGACTGCTGTTGCAACCCGCGGTTGAGGTCCCAGCATAAAGTAACAAGTGTCTTCCCGTTGGTTGAAGACACAGCGCCTCATCCCCCTCATGTGCAAGTGTTACAGCACTTCCCCCCATGCATCACGTAGTAAAATTTGACCCACTAGTACAGCTCGTTAAACTTCCTTCATGGGTGAGCATGCTAGAAAGTACCATTACTTTTAGTGCTATTTTAACATCTGCTCCTAATTCCCTGTGGACCACAGAGTCTCTCCTGCACTGCTGCAGCCCGCCATTCACGTCTTGAGAAAAGCGGAATACGGACACGCTTAACTTGATTTTGTGAACCTTGTAAAGGCGCAACACCCAGAAACTGTCAAAACCAGTGGTGCAAGCAGCACCTGCCTCGACTCCTTTGCCTCCCTTTAGCGCGTCCCTGATGTCATCTTTTTAGTGACTGAGACTGCAACTTCTTACCCGTGTTGTCCTCGTGTATTATAGGGCGCTTGCAGCTGTTTTGGCATGCGGTCAAACCAGCCCGTTGAGCAAACCACTGAAGTGCTATGAACTGCCGTTGCCCATACGCCAATTAGAAACTGTGAATTACGGTGTATGATTCTCTTGTGAACAGAAGGGCTATTATTACTATTAAAACGATCCATTCATTGGGATATTGGCAGCCAAGGTGGTTCGCCGTGTTGAAAGTTAACGAGTGTCGGGCAATTGAACAGGCGCTGGTTCACAATCAAGACAGAAGCACGGCAGTGGCTGATGATGATAGCGACGAAAATGCTATTATTAGCAGAAGTCTGAAATATGAAACTGAAATATCGATGAAGTCAAGGATATGTTGCACTTCGCATGCAGGAACCGCTTGCCAGCAGCGTTGACCAGTGGCTCAACGCCTCGTGTTTGCGAGTCAAGTTTGGGCAGTCAAACCAGAAAAGGCAACAGATTCGATCTTGCATATTTCTCCCCATAACGGTGCAGAATCATACATTTTTCTAAATGCTTGAAGTCTTCACCTGTACTAAGACGATATTTCATGGTTTGCAGTTGAGCTTCGAGCCTGTGGCTCCCTGGTCGTGCTCCCTTTTCGAATAATTGAGGTGCTTCGGTATTGTACTTTTTCAAACAAAGGTTTATACACAGTGGATTACTGAATTGGGAGTGGTAATAGTCACTGGTTGATTCAGGCCCTCCGCGCCATTCATCCCTTGCGCTACCGGCAAGCATAGGTATCTGTTGCGTCTCTCGTGGTAGCAGAGGCCTTAAAGCTCCGCACGGGCGGATAGAAATGTAGTGCGCTGCTCTTGAGTGTGCATCAGCATCTGCTTCCTGCTGCAGCCAGGCCAGAAGGAGTGTAGTGTGGCTTCCAAGAGGACGGGTCTTGCTGGCTCGCTCCTCACTACTGATTGACCGCTTTGGGGTCAATGCTGCACATGGTATACGGAACGTGGATGGTGGAAAGAAAACAGTACATCTTGAAGGCAAGCGGCCCACGGGACACAGCAAGATGAGTCTTCCGGTGTCAAACTATGGTGTTCTTGGGGAACGCATTTTGTGGCCTGCGGGTTTCGTTGCGCTGCAGAGGATGCCTGGTGAGGACACTGACGATACATATGTTTTCATGTGTAGTGACAAGAGCCACGCACATGTAGTAGGGGATAAAATATTGTGGGTATTGAGGATGCGGGCTGATATGCAAGAGCTGCGCAGTTTTGGGCATTCGGTTCCTGTCTTTGACAGTACAGTAACACTCCTGGGGCTGGATTGGAGATTGCTCCACTAGGTTTAAGGAGAGATGCAGAGCCAGCTTTTTGCGTTTTTGCCTGGCAATGTTTATCAGGCAGCGCAGCCCACGGCGAAACATGGTTGATAAAAAACGACGTAAACGCTCAAAAAGAAGAGCTAGCAAAGCGCAAGTAAGGAAGCCGATTGGACTTACATTGCACAGTGTCGGACATCTGTACCAAGACTATGGTTTTACTGCATCAGAGACGAATTTGCTGATCGAGCACAATGGGGCCTGTGCTGCTGCAGAGCAAAGCTCGAGGAAGCAGTTGCCCGCCTCGATCTCGGCATCTACCAAGCCGCTCAAGACATGGAAGAGGAGCAAGAAGAAGCATTCGAAGACGATGAACACTATGATGATGAAATGGACTACGCAGAGAGATTTGACCCCCATGACAGGTAATTACAGCGGAAAGTTCGTGAAGTGGGGGCTGACTGACTGAGGCGGAATAGGCTTCGTAGAAGCGCTGGTTGCTGTTGGCGTCGGGCGTAGTAAACTTGGAAAGTTACTGGATAATGTTATGCATAGGCGTTGTGGCAGTGTGGAAAATAAGGGAATGCCTTCAGTGCAGTCGCTTCTTTGAATTCCATTCTCGAGGCATACCTCAGCGGAATGTACACAACTGGTGCTATGTGTGCCTTCAAAGAGAGGACCCGGAAGTGCTTTTGGAAGAAAGGCAGCAGCTCAAGACAGATATCGAAGATCAACTAGAGGAGGTGGGTAGAGACGTTGTTGTGTTTTAGTACATTGGCTTTCGTTTCCCGTTTGCCGGCGTACTACTTGAGAACCGAAGAAACAGAAAGCGGCAGACTGCAAAGTAGCAGTAGTATGATTTCTTGTACCAGTCATCTGTTAGCAGTTTGCGTTTGCGAGCACAGAAATAGGCTTTGCGCCGCAGTGCTGCATAGGTAGCATGTCAGAACCTGCCTAAGCTTTTTTAACTTTTTTGGTGCCTAGGTCGAGAAGAAGCTAAAGGAGCTTGAGTCAAGCAACCTTAATTTCACCTGGGAACGCCGTGAGCTTCCGATCGCAGTAAGCTAGAGTTTACTCACTGCTGTGCAGAGCAGCAGCTTGCATGGCGGTTAGTGAAAATTTGAGGTGCTGTGTTTGCAGTGTAAATTCGAGCTGCCGAATATTATGGATCAGCTTTCCGTGGAAACGCGTTATGGAGCGCTGTGTGATGCATGGTGCTTTACGTGACTTTCACTCATTGAACAAGGCCATACTTACGTTGTTGACTACTCTACCTCTTGCACAGTAGCAGCTTTGCGCCTATCCAGCTCCTTTTGTCACTTGTTCTGTAGTATTGGAACCTCAACAGACCGCTACAAGCGTTCTTCTTAGGGCCCACGTAGACCATATAGCTGTAGGATTTTGGGTTTAGTGCCAACAAGTACGGTTGTGTTTGGCATGGCCTTATGTCGGCTATATCGTTACTGGGGGTTCCCTCAGAGCTACCTGATGTGCGCCTTGGCGCATCTGCAGCTTCGGAGGCTTGATAAACCGTGGGAGGACTTCAGCCACGACTTGCTCGTCCAGGCTCATTTAGAGGCACAAGCCATGGCAATTGCAGAAAAGGAACGTCTCGAGCAGGAAGCCAAAAAAGCAGCAAAGAAAGGTATGTAGCAGCTGCCTAGGCATATTGTCTACGAGTGAGGCCCGAATATGTTTACCATGTCATGCCTTTTGGCAGTGTAGGCTGGATGGTCTGTGTTCACTGCCGTAAATACGTGAACAGGTTGTTCGTCAACTGCAACATAACTTTCGAAGAAGTACTTGGCGGCATAGCTCAATTTGGTCTTCGCACTACTTTGCTGTTGCCTTACGTTGTGTTTTCAGGCAAGAAAGTTGCAGCACCGAAAATGGCGCCTAAAATACGTGACGTGCCGACAGTCTTTTGCGCGAAAGTTGTAAGACCTTTACATGCTGACCACACCAATAGTCTTCTATTTTTTAGCACATGCTATGCAACCAGAGTAAAGCTTTTGGACATTTTTATGCGGCTTACTGAGCTGATAAGCATGGCCTAAACTGGCTTGTCTTTGTCTCGCATATGTGGGAAGCTTTTATAGTGACTGTGTCAGATGGATCCGGGGCTGGCCGTAGCTGCAGACGGACGTGTCTTCTACCGGAGTGATGCGGCCTACGACGATGCAGCTGCAAATGCGCTCGTCAAGGAAACTGAGGTGTTTATGAGGTTCTGTTGGCGGTACATCGTGGAAAAGGGAAAATTCAACTTTGAACAAGTGGGATTGCTGCCGGTGGTTCACACTGCCACTGTGAGCCGCACACATAGCAGTTCAAAGACTATGTCTGGTGCGGCCATTATCACGTGAGCCAACGTATAGCGCATGCTATGCCTGTAGACGGCACTGCAGTTGAGAACTGAGTGGAGCACGTAACTTTTCCCTAGTGAGCTTTATTTTAGCAGTTTGCTAGTGCGCAAATAACGGGCATGATTTGCTGCAAAGAGCAGGTATGATTTACCGTAACCGTGTCGTTGTCAGCCACTTGGGGAGTGTACCATTAATGCTGCAGGCCGTTCATGCAAAATGGCAGCGTTGGTGCGGTGATGAAGTCTCTAGCTGGAAAAAGGAACACATACGCGTACGAAGCGGATCTCCTGCTGGCGAATGCAAGGAACCTAGTTTCATGGTACGGTAAACACTGCAAGTTATTTTCTGCTTGGAAGCGCCAGATGTCTTGAGCGCAACTTAACGCAGCACATTTAGTACACCCGTCGCGCAGCGTCAAGAAAAGGGGGTGGCATGGCGTTGCGCTGCAGCATGGCTTTCTTGGAGCACTACGGAGTGTATCACGGCAACATTCACCCATACAACATTATGGTTTCAGACGACGGATTTCGTCTCCTTATTGGCGATTTCGTCCCCCCAAGTACGTAAACCATCCTTGTTTTTAAACTACTAGCATTGTCTATATGTCACTCCGATTAAGACAGCATGCCGCCCCTTCACGCCGTCCGGTATTGTAATCACCTTGCGGATTTACCCAGGCGAGTTCAAACGATGGCTTGTACAAGTGGCGAAGGGATTAGCCGCTGTTCCCCCTTACTGCTCTCCCGAATACTACACTGCATTGTATGAGCGGCGGATACAGCGGCCATCTGTCTACGTGGACACGCTGTCTCCTCATAAACATGACGTGTTCTGTCTAGGCCTTGTCATTCTGCAGCTGGCCACATTACAGAATGTGACGGTGAGGTTTCATTTTTAAGTCTCATTATTACCGCACAGTGAGCATATGGAGTGAACCATTCGGTCTTTTCGTATGTAGACATTCACGGAGAGCGCTTATTGCCTGGACACCGGAACCCTTTGCAGTCTCGTCCGTTTGTTGAATCTCCTAAATGCCTTGTTCAAGGTGTTCCTTACATTGGTGCTTTAGCGTGGTTTACTTGCTGCTTCCTCCAGGTAGGGCCGACGCAGCGAGTGCAAACGTGTGTGTGTGTGTGTGCGCGTGTACTGCGCTGTCCGTCTCTGCGCAGATATACCGCGATAAGCCGAAGAAGCTTACAGCAGCACTGGAGAAACTGAAGAATAGCGATTCACCAGCAGCCCCAGGTATAACAGCTGATAACTGCAGGAACTATGAGCAGCTATTAGTGCGGTGATTCTGAAGCCCTGCAGTTGGGCAAAAATCATTTACGTAGCATTGCCCTTCGGAGGACAGTTACGATGGCTTGTTCTGTTTGAGTTCGTTTGTATCCTCTTCACATGCCACTCTATAGTGTTCTTGCATGGCTTTTTTCTTGTTTACATTTGCCTTGTATATAGATCTGGCCTCACTACTCAGTCGGATGCTAACAATGAACCCTACAGAAAGGCCATTCTTTAAGGACCTGGTGGTGCGTCACTGTAGTAGTTCATCTACCCACATTTCGCTAATCCTGAACAATTGTTTCGTTAGAAAAGCGCATGCACTACTAAACAGGAATTCAGTGCTCCCCTCATCTCAGTGGCGGAGCGCATGACTTAACGCTAGCCGCAGTTGGCGACTACACAAACTGTAGTCTGAAGTTCGTTGGATAGCCATTTTCCACTGTGGCATGCTACAGGATGCTCAAGACCGCTGGGCTCTTCAAGCATCGGAGTGGGTTCGTGGAGCCGCCGAACTTCTAGGTTTCGGGAAACCACCGGCCGAAGAGTTATACTTAAACAAGTCCCTGACTCCACCAGGAATGGGGACGCAGACTCGCCCACCTACACCGAAGAAGAAGAATGAGTCATCCACCTGCAATGTGATGTGACCTGGGTGCACAGCCACATATGAGGCTCTTCTTGTATAGAGCTGCAGTATCTTAGTACTGCAGCCTGCTCGTAAACATCTGTATATTTCTAAACCAGGTGTAGGCGCTAGCAACAGGGGGAACCCCCTTAGGCGGATCCTCTCCAATGTACGTATGTGGTGTACTATGCGGGTTCCTTAGTACACAGAGAATGGCATTAAGCTGGTATGTGCTGCACAGCGAGCAGATGGGGCGAAGCAGAACTGGCACAATTTATTTGATCTGTACAGTTATTGTGGTCGCCAGGAAGCATTTCCTGTGAGGGCTATCATTCCTTACTGGGTAGACGGTAACAAATGTAAAGCAGCAAGTATACGCCCGCTATGGCATCTGTGGAGCTTCACGCGCCGCACAGGGCGCCCCACGAAGTTGTACTGAGCATGCAGATTCTATCCGCTTGGGCTCTGGATCATAAGCTGCACCCATATTGAGAGCACAATACGCGGACTACCAATATGTTGAGAACAACTGGGAATTCTCAGTTTACAGAGACTTGGGTGACCGTGAAGTGCATGTTTTACGCTGGAACGGCGTGTTTACCGCCTTCTCAGTGCTTCTTCGGTTCACCCCGGCTGCTAAATTACACACCTGCACACTGTTGCCCACATGCTGCATCGATCTCCCGTCCGAAGTAGTTTCTGTAGACACACCTCACACGGCATTCACATGGAATAATTTCGGGAAACATCAGCGAGAAGGCGTAGCCCTGCCACTTGTGGTGGTTACATATAAACATATATTATAGATTGTTCAAGCTTATGTCGTTTTGTAGACTGGGTCGTGTTGCAGCAGGATTACAAAGCAGTAGAATACATACGCATTTCAGGGCTTCAACCGGGTGCGCATAGCGGCACACCAAAGGCGCCGTCACATTTCAACTGCTTGCGCTGATTTGTGGCATCTTACGAACTCCCTGTTAGGTCTAGCGAAGGCAACAGCATCTCAAGAACTAGCAGTAACCGTCGCGCAACTCACCTACGGGAATGTGAGATGTGAGCATTGTCGAGGACATCCTATGGAAACCATAATCGCAGCTGATGTGTTTACACTGCGCGGTGCGTAGTGACCATTGAGCTTCGAAACCCCCACGCATGGAATTTGTAAACCCGGAAGTGTTGGACTAGCGCATACCTCGAACAGACGGAGATGTCTATCGTCAGACCGCTGCAGCGACGTAGATACCCCTTTCGCTGCATTCAACAAATGTGCATCACTTGTCACTGGGCACGTCCCCAGCACGATCTCCAAACACACATCTACGTATATCACGACCACAACCTTTATTATCTGTCCTCGCTAGAAGAGCAATCAAGGCCTACCTTCGTTGTATTCGATTAATGATACGTGGTACAAATGTCTAGTTTCTCGTCGGCGACTCCTGATAAGAGCCGCAAGGGCCTTTGCGTGTTCGACGGAGTCGTTGACGCCTGAAACGTTAGTATCTCACAGGCTACACAATTAAAGACTGGCCCGTGGGAACACCCTACACCTGTCAGGTCGGACACTTAGAAGTAACGACGTGCGGCAAGCCTAAATACTTGTCGAGCACAACGAGCACTTGAAAGAATTTGGAGGAAGGATGCGCTCCACATTTTGGGGATCGAGGGGACTGCAATGGCGAACAACGAATAATCTCGTGTGAGCCCCCTTCCCTTAGTTCCGGATACTTGCCTTGAAGCAGTAAGTATGCAATCCAAACACGACGGCCCGTCAAGCCAATGCGCTCGTCGAGCAGAGTGAATACTTCCGGAAATGGGTACATGCGGTTAGCGGGCACCTGAGCAATACGCAGAAGTCAGCAGTGTCCATTCGGTTTACCTAGGTTTATAAAATGTGCAACTCGTGACATGAAATACCTGAAAGAACAAACTTCGCTGGCAGCCTCATTAACTTCGCAAGAGTACATAGGTGCTGTGTTCTCTAGATGCGTCACAAGGTCCACGTTCCTGGCTCTGTTTGATAGTAACTTGCTTATTTTCAAACAGCTGATGGAGAAAGTGCCCTAAATGTGTTGCACTGCAGACGCACCAAGATATTGCGCTCTTCCGCAAAGGGGGAGTGGAGAGAAAATGCCAAGTTAACCTAGCAAGCAAAGGGCTCAGGGGAACGCCTCATTGCGTACAGAAAGGAGATGCGCAAGTAAACATGCAGGACGTCGGCCTTGAACAAACGACCAAGTTCTCGAAAAACTCTTCCTTTGCTGTTGTAGAATTCAAGCTAAGTCACGAAGAGATCAGTGATATGTCTACCATTTGCATCTCCGCCGCTACCGCACGGCGGAGATAGGCTACTCCGCTACGGTACTTCCTACATCGCACCTGTGGGTGTTGCTCATTGAGCTTCTTTATGCCTGGAAGGACGCCTGAAGTGGAAATGTTCAAACGCCGTGCCGAAATGCCAAATGCTCTGGAGTCTGTTAGTAGTTTGAGGGTCTCGAAGACACGAGGGTTTGCAAGAGGCTCCCCCATGCCTGCACCACCAGCGACAAGTTCATTCCACTTCCTGGCTAAGCAGCAGTGGACAGCAGGCACCTTTACCATACTTCAAGTAATTAGCGTGCACACGACACATACGAAGCATACACACGCATGCACCTATATCTGAGCGCATCATAATACTTGCTCCTTGGTATTTCGACTGCCACACCATTGTCTGCAAAAGGCTGGGTTCACTTATGGAGTACAGGTGCTAGTCTATCTATTCCGCATACGTCGATTTCCAGTCCCTAAACTCCTCATATGTGACATACCCATGAAAGATATAGAGTCAGCTCGTATCCCATTCGCCTGGAAGTAAAGCACCTGGTCAGAGATTTCGTCAACACTCAGCTGCCGTTTAAGGCCAACCTTCCCTTCAAAAAAATACATGAACAAGAACGGGAATTGTGACATTTTGGCTTACTCACACTTTAACTTCGCGAAAATCCTAGCGCAGCAACAAATGGGGGAGAGTTGTTGGAGCATGTGCCTATTGCAGCTCGGAAAAAAGTTCCCACAGAGTGCTAGCCTGGAAGTTGAGAGCAGCAGGCGCTGAACATCATGCCTACCAGTGGCACAAAAGCTGCAGTTGAAAGAGCACCCAGCCTGAGAAAAACACGACAGCTCTATGGAAACGATGATTAAATTCATCCAGACTGTTGTGTAGCGCGGTCCGCATCATGCTCCAGTGCTTCAATGCCCCCATATTTCTTGCTCAAATACAGCGACTGCATTCTATAAAGGTAAGCACACAACAGCTATCCATAAAGCCATTCTCTGCCTGAATTGCAGGGAGCAAATGCGGAAATTGAAGACAATACCCAGCATACCCAGCTCCAGAAAAGTGCCCACCTGCGAAGATATGCAGAGGGAAGTGTGGGAGGCAAACTTCAGTGCAACAGCTTCGATTCTAACTCCGTCTTTGCACTCAAAAAGTATTTTTCTTGCCCGAGGTGCCTCAGCGATAGAGACACATTTCAGCGTTAACAAATCGGGACCGAAGTGTGTCTCAATCGCATTTTTCGCCTGAGTGCCGAGTGCCTTCAAGTCAGCCACGGTGGTTTTGCCAGCATATAACTGGCGAGTTAACTGCTCTAACCGGTACTTAGGGGCCCCGGCCTTCAATAGCACGTCCTTCAGCAAAACCAAGCGCCGAGAAAACTCCATAGACGAACAGAGCAGAGGTTCCAAGTTGCACTCAGGCGAAAATGGGACCCCCATACAGCATTAGACCCGAGATACAAAATTATAACGTAAAATTGGCTTGGTTTGCATGGACAGACTCTTCAACATTAGGAAGACATCGGTATAGCCTCATTCGTAGTCGTTCTAGAGTCAGCCGGTGTAATGAAGTGCGCTTGAGCACATCGAAAAGTGCAAGAAATGCATCGTTCCTTCCTGTAATTACCTTTTACTCAAAAAATGCATCTGAATGCCTCCCCAACGGACTACGTATTGTCGTGCCGAGCTGTAAGCCCGCTGCTCCCTCCATAGTGGCTTCGGCGCAAGGCTGCAGGATGAACGCCGAAGATCTCTGTATCACCTTGTTAGTGGGCATCCACTCAAAATATTACTTTTTAATCAAATTTTTGCAGAGTTCCGTTTTACAGAAGAAGATTTGACGTTCTGATGCCCATTAGTTAGCCTCTCCAAGTGGGTATCCATTTGAACCACACACTGTTCAGCAGCCTCGAACTCATGAGCCCGTTAAAATATGCAGTGTTCGCTGTTCGACTCTTATATCTGGATATCTATGAGCCTCGAAGCGATTTGGCTAGAACACCGTTATGCTGACTCGAGTACGCATACACGTGGGCGCCTGCGAAGCCTTTGGTGGCGCGAACCCACACGGTCACAGCGTCCCCAAGCCTAGAACAAACAGTAAGAATGAACTATCTTCTGTACTTTAACAATGTATTAGAACCATCGCAGTGCAAAGTAATGACAGCAGGCGCTGCCCGCTGGGCCAAAAGGTTTCCCACGTGGCATTGCCCTTATAGAAGACCAAAATCTACTTTTCTGCATATGCGAAAGCACTTGAGCTGTGGCTTTTTGTAAAAACCTGCTGACAACAGTGTTATGTACACGGTTGTCTGCAGTAAGGTTCTGGAAGGCTTTGGACAGAAAAAGCGGCTGGATCTGTAGCTACTACTGTGCTTTTTGGTGAAAATCTGCTCATAACACTGCTAGATATACGATTGCCCGGAGAAACGGTCTGCACGTGCAAAGAGGGGCTGGATCCATAGCATTTGGTGCGTCTCACCAACGCTACACAGACAAGCAAAGCTTCAGTCAGGTCCTAGCTAGGAAAGTACTTCTCTCTCTCTACCACATGCTGAACAAAAATTATTGTAGTGAAACAACGAAGTGCTTGCTGAGCCTGTTTGTAGTGCTTAGTGCATCCAACTCTATTAGTGCCAAACCCATTTGGCCTCCGTGCCGAGCCAGTTCTATTCTACCAAGAGCTACCACTGCGCGGCACGCTAAATTTAAGGCTTAAGGATATTTCATATAACAAAATTTCAACTATTTTCACTGCAAGCTACGGCATTGCACACGCAGCGCTGCAGTGCTGTGCTACATACAACGACAAAGCACGTAATTGGACTTGGGACATGACGTAAGCCACACAAAATACGCGGAAGGTAAACATGCCCTATCGGCTATTGCTATTATTAAACTGGATGAAGCCTGCATGGTCTGATCAAAGGACCCCGCTTGCTGCTCACAGCCACAATATGCTCCGCTGGGACAAGTTAACTATCCGTTTGATCGTTTATTAGAGTTCCCAGCAATTTTATGCCTCCCTTTTTGCCCTAGTTGGCTCTGCTCAGGCTTGGTCTAATTGTCCAGCTCAGTCCAGGGCATTGCCTGATAACAGTCGACTGCCGATCTTCCTCACTTTCACGTTCGTTGCAACTATATATGAGACGTCGCGCGGAGCTGCGTGCTAGCTAGTTGCAGCTGCAGCATGTTTTAGATTTTTAAGGCGGGGCCTCCGCAAAAGCTAAAGTGGATGTGGGCATACACTCTGATGTGCATGCACACATAGGATGTGTGTAACATCACAGCTCTAGGAATACCACAAATATTCACGTACAGACACAGACATACCCAAACAGAAGTTCATACGCACACATGTCCACAAAGGAGGAAGTCCAATGGCTCAGTGACCGTAGAAAGCAAGTCTTTTAACGTTTTAACGTCAGCGTAACGTAATGTGTGTAGCAAAAGGAGTTAGCATGGATTTAATTACAGTGCTTGTCCACCTCAACCAAACACAGAAGACGTCATAGATGCAGAAATATGCGGATAAACGTTTAGACAGATGACGTAAAGTGTTCCTCAAGGGGGGATTCCACAAACAGCTGTTGGGAAAATTGTGCCTCAAATTTCACGATTAATCGTGCCTTGTTTTCTTCTTCATGTTATTAAGTCTGTCTTCAAATTGTTTCAGCCTTCGTACGTGAGTGGAACTCTGTCTGCTCAAAACGCAGACAGCGGCTACGGGAAAACGGTGGGAAAAGGGGTGAGAATGCGACAAGATCAAAGGCTTCAGAGAGCGGCACTCAGGAAAATAATGAGCCAGAAACTTCCCAGCAGGAGGGGCCCGATCAGGAAATCGCATAGTCATGCAGACGCATAAGAGGCCTGCTTAAATAGGTCACAATTTGCCAGGGACTGCCCTACGCCCAGTGAATAACGAGGAAGCCCGTGTGGTGTAAAAATACCTCCATCACGTGATCGTACACAAAGCGAAACCTAACGATAAAGTAAGCGAACTTCAGCGTTGCGGAGATGAATGTACAAATCTCCAGAGGAGAGGTAAAGAGATGAAGCGAACCGTTTAGACAGGGCATGCTCCCTGATCTAGCGGAAACAGCTAGGGAGCCTAGAAAAATATCAGAATCAACCTGCTAAGACTATAGAACGGCCCCCTCCAATCTGTAGCAGAAGTGTAGGCCAAGGCTGGGGACTTAGAAGAAGAATTAGAGGATGTAATGCACAATGAACGTGACGGTGATGGGAGAAGTGGGAGTTGTCCTGGCTGAAGGTATGGGTTTTGTGAGACAGTAGTGATATGATAGAAGAAGACGCTGCCGGAAAATGCCTGGAGCTGCTATATGGCGCGGGTACAAGAGAGCTTATCCAGCCATCATACCTCGAGATACTTATGAAAGTGAATACAGTCAGTGGGTCTATAGGGCTATGCGACGGAAAGTCGCACAGCTCTATAGATCCAATGACTGTAGAGCGACGACTGCTCAGGGAGAGGCAGCTCCCTGAGAAGTGCACTTTTAGTATGGCAAACGACAAGTTGTTGCGTACTGACTGTGTAGTTACTGGATTAAAGGCTTTTCAAGCGACTTGCTGGTAGAAACAGTTCAATATGATTTGATCATAGGATTCGATTAGTTAGTGACTCATGGGTTTCCAATCTGACAAGTCCAGAATATGCGTGGATGGTCGATGACGCCACCTACGCGCGGATCGCACTACCCAAATGGAAAAAGGAGAGTGTCGGCCTAGCGTGGCACAGCCCGAGATGCGCGCAGGGCAGGCCGGTAACCTGCTGGGAAGACGATTTTCAGATATGATGGCGCAAAACTCAAAAGCATCGCTGCGTCTGCCTCTCAAATGATAGAGCTCTCACACTAGGATAAAGGGACTCAAGACGAAAAGCCATATCAACGCAATGTTTTGCCAAACATGAGCGAATTCGAACTGGCTTAGTGTCCCGCCGTCACGGCTAAAATTCGCACTGCTTTTCCGTAACTTAAAAGTCGGGCCGCTTGACGTGAGAAATGACAGGGAGTATCGCTGCGTGCACTTTAGGCTCAAGACGAGCCAGTCCAACAGAGATTACGGCTTAAACTCCGCACAGAGCACCGCGATAGTTCTGAAGAGCGCGACGTGAACATTTTTTGTAAACAGTGAAACATTTGATGCCCTCGTGTTCGCTTCTGAGTTCTTCGTTCCCCGACTTCATACTATACTAAAGATATTGCGGATAGGTACTGTTCATGAATGGATCCAGATGAAAACCTTCATTAGATCCAGTGGCCCAAAAAAGACGGTGTAAGTGACAAACTGCCTTTCGCCCTGTCATTAAGCCATGGAAGTAAAATGTATTATCGCCTAGCCTTTCATGCACTGCGACCACGTTTCAAACCAGTATTAGCACGTAATTTTAACGCTACCAGCTCAGGGCAGGGCGTTATCTTAGCAAGCTTGAACGATTTTTCTGGCAACCCACGGAGCAACATGAATTTATTTGCACTTTGGGAGAGAGGCTCGCAAGTGGCCACAATCAGTAAAAGGTCCGGTGGCGGGGCTCATTGCAAGGCCACACCACATAGAAAGACTGCCCGTTAGGCTGCTATCCGCTTGTGTAGTATGTTCGGGGCATTTACCTATAAAGTAGCTCGAGCAGGAAGAAATTGATGCGTCTTTGCGGTAAGGCTGTTAGCTGCTTGATTTTCTTTACAGATGGAAACTTGCAAAGAGACTGACAAGTTTCAGTGCAGGCAACTCTGCACAGAATATCAGTCCACGTATACTCTGTAATCTGCCGTACAAGGCAGTGGAGTGCACACTGCGAGCAGTAGCATCAAGAGATACCCTTCGCAGATGGGATACCTCTTCAATGGATGTCTACAGTGAGTAGAGCTTTGCTTTATCAGCAAGTAGTCAACCTACGCCACAGTTTCCTCCACTTAGCTCATATTTTATAATGAAGTTAAGACGTATACTTTGTTTAGGAGTTCTGTTGTGGCTCCGCGTTTAAAATAATGCAATAGCGATGACACGAGGGTGGCGTCGTATAGCTCTGAGCGAATAATCGAGCCTTGATGGTGAAGCTGAATTTAGTAGACCAAAGCTTGTTAGGAGCACTCATTGGATATGAGCCGCGTACCAAAGCGTGTCATGAAGCTACGAAGGATGTAAATAGCGTTCTGAGAGCATTTCAATTACTGTAGTGCCGTAAACTCGTGACGGCCTCATCCTGAAAGAATTTGTTCGTTCAGTTTCGGCAGTTCTAAAGAGTGAAAGTCGGCTGACCACCAGATAAACAAAGTTAAAGCTTGAACCCGCTAGACGCCACTTGAAACTACACTCTTCATCCGTAATCTGAAGACACCTGCGGCATGTGCAAATAAAGGGAAAGCATCCTCTGGGATAGAGCATAACGGCAGTGAGCCTCTGCAAAATACACGGCTGTTCGATTAGAGGAATCGCAACAGGTTCCCTAAACCAGGAGCCGTAACTAAATAATAGCGCCCTTTGCTAACAGACAGGCTAAGCTTCAATATCGAGTCCTCATCGTTGGCATTAAAGCCAAGCGAAAGTTTCTCAATTGCATTGGCGGTATTCATTCGCATAACAATGCCACCCTCGACGCACAAAGCAGGGAATATTTGGGGTGCGTTCGCACAGGTTCATCGTGGGTTTTGTACAGTCGTGTTGCATTTATAGCACCGAGCATTCCTCCATTCAGACTTGGTCAACATCGTTCTTGCACGTAGCCGTATTTTTCAGTTCTGGCTATACAACTTTGCAGCAGTTCTACTCTCAGAGAAAGCCTACGATCCCACCGAGGCTTACAGAGTCTCCTTTAGATGCGAGTACTACCCATATGCTGATGCATGCGTCTAGAGTATCTACAGCTAGCTGCTAATACCTTTTGTCGGGACCTGTAGGGTTTCTCGCTCGTGCAGGGGTTGCTGAGAAGGGAAGGGATGGGAGCCCTGTGATAATACTGACAGTTGGCTAAGTGACTTTATGACGATGCCTGCGACCACTAGGCTTTATTAAGGATTTGTTGGGTGAGGAAAGGGCAGTCAGTCCAGCGGAGCAGCAGCTGCAGCTGCTGCGGCGGGAGCGGCTGTGCACATCTGCGGATGTAGATACACCCTTCTGTTGCTTGAAGGCTCCTTAGAAAGCTTGCAGCGTACCAAATTGCTGGAAAACTCTCTTCGCTCCTCCCACACGTGAACTAAGCTTGGCTGAGAGAGCGGCGGTGGCGTACGTGTTGTGTTGTTGCATGCCCAACGTGAAGATACACTCGGCGTTGGGTGCGGTGCGCTTGGTAGGAACCCGTCTTTTAACTTTGCCATTTCTTTCTGCAGCTTTCAAGTATAAATTCCTTTTCTCTCTTTCGCTTGTTCTCTCCCTGCTGCATCAGCCCGCTGCGCCTTCCCTCCCGGCGCAGCCGCAGCCGCCTAGTGCCACCTCGGCAGGGTTCGTTTCGTCGTCTTTAGCCTTGAACGGGGGGTTTAGACACAGAAACCCATTACAAAGCCTCTCCAGGGTTTCTTAAAGAAGCCAACAGGAGCACAGGATTGAAAACAAGCCCCGCATGTCTCCACACACCACTCAGACACCTGCAGGTATACTGCGCGACAGCCCACCGCATCCTTCTCTCCGCAGGTACGCTTGCAGGCGACGCAGAGTCCACTGGGGACACAGGGGGGCTTCCCGCAGTAGCTCATACCCTGAAATGGGCCTCGGAAATCCCATAATTCCCAGGGTGCTCTGCAGCCAGCGCTGTGGGGAGTAGCCAAGGACATTCACCAATACGGCGCTGCCAGCAGCTGTTTGGACTGCTGTCATTGCCTACATTAGCAGCCGCTGCTCCCGTGTGGCACAGAAGCTGTCAATGACGCGGCAGTGCCCTCCACAACTGCACGTGCCACTGCTGCAGCAGAAACGGCTGGGGCAGCAGGAGCAGCAGCAGCAGCAGCAGAACGAGCAGCAACAATCCGCGAAAGTGGAGAGGCAAACGCGCTGCAGCAGCTTTATCGATAGCGTCGCCTCCTGCGGGACTGCAGCAGCCGCAGCAGCTTCATCTGCTGCGCAGCACTAGTGCAGCAGCGCAGCACCAGTGCAACTGCGTCTGCGTCAGCAGCAGCGGCCGCAGCAGCAAAACCAGCAGCAGGCCGCTGACGGTTCTGCAGCAGCCAAATCCGTTCTTCTTAAAGACTTGAGTTTTGTTCTGACTGGTGGGGACAGTCCACAGAGGGGAGGTCTGTTGCTGCGGTGTACGTACAGGGCACCATGCGGGTGGCCGCCTGCCTGAGCGACAACTTTCTCCTCTCACTTTCTTCTCTTCCTGAAACGCAGAGGCAGTTCATCATCGCCATCTCCACCTGCAAAGATGAGGACCTTCTAGGCCACCTCCGGCCCTTCAAGGTACTGCTGAGGAGTTGGCTAGGGTTTAGGGTACTGCTGAGGAGTTGGCTAGTGTTTAGGGTTTAGGGTTTAAGTGCTCAGCCTCCTTCTTCATTCTGGCACATCAGAGAAGCATTTTAGGACAATGCAGAGCTTGCGGCCAGGGCGTAGTGGATGTTCTAGTGCCGCTAGTTGTGTTGGTGGCGGCAGTTGCTCTGCTGCTGCTGCTGCTGCCAGTTGTTCTGCTGCTGCTGCAGCGGGTTGTTCTGCTGCTGCTGGTTGTTCTGCTGCTGCTATTGCTGCCGGTTGTTGCGCTGCTGCTGCTGCTGCTGCTGCTTGTTCTGCTGCCCCTGCTGGCGACTGTTCTGCTGTTGCTGGTGCTGGTCGTTTTGCTGCTGCTGGTTGCTGTGCTGCTGCTGCTGCTGCTGCTGCAGCATGGCAGCAGCACGCGGGCGCGGGGCTTTGCTGCTGTGTGCGCAGGGCTGGATGTGGGAACGGCAGGGGGATGTGTCTGCGTGGGCGCCGGCCCTAAACCGCTTTGACGATCTCTTGAATGCCTACGCAGTGCACACAGGGCTTGCGCCTGAGGCTGCAGCTTCCCGTAGGTTCAGCGCAGTTCCCTAGGCCGCTGCAGCAGCAGCAGCAGCAGCGGCAACAGCGGCAGCAGCAGCAGTGGCCTGCGGCTTGTGCTGCGTGCAGAGCCTCCCCCTTCCTTTGTCCCTTGTGAAGCCCTTGTTGTCGCCATTCTCGAGACTTCTTACATTGTGCTCGAGAACTGTTCCTCTAAGGCAAGTGCACTACGGGGGCTGAGGGGCCCTGGGGGCCCCCGACCAGCTGGGGGCCCCCCCCGCGACTTGTCTTTAGAAGGGTAGCCCCGGGGACCCCAGGGGCCCCCGCAGAGGCCGCTCTCTGTGCAGGGGAGTTGCTGCTGCTGCTGCTGCGCTGTGCTGCTGCCAGTTTCTCTACGCCTCTGTGGATGTCGTCACTGCCCTGCTCGAGTCCTTCTGCCTCCCCATAGTTTGCGGGGCCATTCAGCTCCTCGCCGTCTGCTACGGCTTCATAAGGCGGTAACTGCCGCTGCCCCTGCCCTCCCCAGCCCTGGCCCCTGCTGCGCAGCAGCAGCTGCTGCGCAGCTGCTGCTGGCCCCAGCTCCGCAGCTGCTGCCCAGCAGCTGCGCAGCGGCTGTTGCTGGCCCCAGCGGCGTTGCTGCTGCGCAGCAGCTGCTGCCGACCCCTGCTGCGCAGCAGCTGCGCAGCTGGGGCCCCAGCGGGAGCAGCAGCAGGGCCCAAGCCCCTAAGAATGAGCAGCTGTGGGCCCTTCTGGGGCCCCCGCGGCTGCAGCCCAGGCCTAAGGGGGCTTTCACTGCTGTGTCCTTTGTGCTGCAGAAACCGAAGAAATGCCCTTCCGCGGGACTGCCCCGACTTCGGAAATCGCCTCTCGCTGTTCTGCTTCAGACCCGTGGCCTATGACGCCTTCGTGCTGCAGCGGCAGCCGCAGCTGGCAGCTGCGCGCACCGCAAGGCACTCGCCGTCGCCGCCCCCTCTGCCGCGGCTCAGCAGCAGCAGCAGCGGCAGCAGCAGCAGCAGAGGCAGCGGCGGTCCCGGTGACGGCGCGGGCATGGCGGTTGAAGGCGATGCAGCAGCAGCAACAGCAGCGGCAGCAGCCGGCAGCAGCGAAACAGCGGCAAACCGGCTGGACCTTCTGTCGTTTTGTCTCGCCGATGAGCTGCCGTCAGACATCGACGGGTTCTTCGAGTTGCAGTGGAGTGTTCCTGCTGCTGCAGCGGCAGCAGCTGCAGGAGACAGGAGGGGAAGTGGCTGCAGTGACGCCATGATGGTGGACCATCCGAGCGACAGCAGCAGCAGCGAGCAGCAGCCGCAGCAGCTGCAGCAGCCGCAAGCAGCGCGCACCGTGAGGTTGTTTTGCTCGGAGCTGCTGCTGCCCGGCTTCTGTCGCCGCACAGTGCCCCATCTTGATGGGACAGCGTCGTCTTGTTGCACCAGCACCGCTGCTGCTGCTGCTTCCTGCAGCAGCAGCACCACCAGTAGCACACCGGACTGCTGCAGCAGCTCCAGCAGAGACTGCACGGCCTGTGGAGCCCTCGAGGCCCACTGCCAGGCAATTATTCGCAAGTACAACATACCGCCGCAACACCATCCGGTACGGACTTGGGACTTTAAGATGGAGTTTGAAGGCCAGAAGATAGAATGTGGCATTGGCAGATTCTGCCATTTCTTGTGTAATTGCGCTCTTGCTGCTGCTGCTGCTGCTTTTTTGTCCCAGGCCGTGCGCCATCGCATGCGTTTACTGCACGGGCTGCGTTGTCCAGCATACCGCGGCGGCTTGGTCGACGTCTATTTGTGTTCTCTGTCATGCCTGATGATTGTATCTCCGGCTCAGTTCTCCCAGATGCTGCAGCAACAGCCGTTGCTGCTTCCGGAGTTTGCGGCGCTGCTGAAGCATGCAGAACGGATCAGTTCCCGCACTCTTCTCCTCGCTGCGGACCTTCTGTCGCTCCTCCTGGTCAGCAGCAACTGCAATTGTTAAAACCTTAAGACATCGCCTGGGGCGCGCTTGCAGCCTCTTTTTTGTCGAAAGCAGCTTCGAGAGCAGTTGCTGCTGCAGCACTCGACACCAGCCTGCGGCTTTGCAGCTGGAGCCGGTTTTTGGGGTTTTGCTTGCTTGCTGCGACCTGAGCATCAGAGTATTTCGTTTGTTGTCTGGGGCTTCTGCTGCAGGAAGACAAGACCCTATATCGGCAAACCGCTGGTCTTGTCGGTGTGTTTTCTCCCTACGGTTTATTTCTGTCTTTGTTGCGGCGGCTGCTGGCGAACCCCTTTGCTGACCGGCCCTTTCGCGTGTCTCGGATCCACACGGCGGTCAGCAGCAGAGCCAGCAGGAGCAGCAGCAAGTGCCGCTGCTGCCAGCAGCAGCAGCAGCAGCCGGTGATCGAGTACGTGGTTGTGGAGGCGGCGGATGAGGCCGAGCTGCGCTCTTGGGAGCAGCGAGTGGCCAAGCCGGGGGCCCTTCGCCAACTTGAAAATGACCTCAACCGCATGCAGACCCTCATGCACCTTTTGGCGGCCTACTCCGCGATAGTTGGCACCACACACAGCGTCATACATGCCTTCGTACAACCAAGTCAGTGGGGGAAACTGGGGCTAGCTCTAGGGCTTAGACTTTAGGCTGAGCTTTCCAGGCTTGCCCTGTAGTTAGCCCTCTTTGAGCGGAGGCCACGGAGTTCAGCGCCGAGACCCTTGAGCAAGGGCGCGGGGTATTTGCGGGAAAGTGGAAGGAGCAGGGCCTAGAGTTTAGGTTTTGGCTTGGGTTTTGGCCTTTAGGGCTCATGGTCCATAGTGTAGATGCATAGAGGCAGAGTCTGTAGGCGCAGGTTTAGCGTAGGTGGGGGCCAGGAGGTGCAGTTTCATTTCGTAAAGAAGGTCTTTGTGGTGGTTGGGCTGCACCGCTCTGCACCAGGGGGATTCTTCACGTTGCGGCGTTGCGGGGTTTGGCCTGAGGGCTGAGGGCTAGGGTTTGTTTGTGTTTTCAGGTCTGCTAAAAGCTCTTATAGGGTTTCTGCGTCACCGGGACCCTCTCTTGGTTCCCGTGCAGATGATAGTCTTGCGGACACTGGAGGCGCATGTCGAACAGCAGCACAGCAGCAGCAGCACCAGCAACAACAGCCAGCTGCTGCAGTTCATTCAAGAGGAACTGCAACTGCCTGAAAGGCTCCAGGAGCGCATGCTCTATGACGCAGCCTGCATGCAGCAACGAGTGAAAGACATGCAGCAGTATGAACGCTGGGTTGAAAGCTGCAGCTGCTGCAGAAACAGCAGCAGCAGCAGCGGTGGCAGCGGGAGCAGCGAGCTTGCCGTAGACGGGGGAGAGAAGCCCGCTGTGACAGCTCCAGAGAGCAGCAGCAGCAGCTACAGCCCCATTTGCTGCTCCTCATACGCCGGCATTGACTGGACAGAGCGTTGGGTCTACCCCAAAGATGTATGTCTCATTTGCGCAGTTTGTTGATTGACCACCGCATTTGCCCTTTATGCGTTCCCTGTCCTTCTTGGCTGCTGCTATCCCGTGCACTTATTTCCTGTGGCTTCGTCACTTTTTCTGTGTCTCCATGCCCAGAATATTTTAGTGAAAATTCTTAAATATGGGCACTTTGATACGAAAGCGCTCGTGCCTGTACCTCTCTGCTCGCTTGTTTCTGTAGCTGCACATCTGGGTGAATTTCAGCCTCTCTTCCACTATCGTTCTTTTTATTTGTGCTGCCATCGGTCTTTGGGTGCTGGCCTATTCTGTCTCAAATTGCAACATTCTGGACACCGGAGCACGCAAGTGCAGATACATGTATATGTATGTACGTATATATATTTTATATATATATATATTTGTTTGTCTTGTAGTGTGTTCTCACGTGTACTCGGCGGTTACATGTATTGCCAGTTCATTTCTTGTTTGTTGAGTGTATGTACAGTTTGTGCTCAAAATGCGTAGAAATAAGTAGCGTGGAATTTGCGCGCTTTCTTGAAAAGGCAACTATGCGTGTTTATGCGTAGGCTCTCTTCCCCACATTCACTGACACAGTGTACATGTATTTATAATATGAAGATCGTCTAATGAACAAATACAGATGTGTTTTTATCATTTGTATATGCACAAATATGCGCGAACACGCACCCCATTCGCGAGATGCCGTGCTGAGTCACTTTGGTGTCTTCAGGGCAGCGATGATGAGCGGCTGCTGTATTGGCTGAAAGCCTGCGAAGTGGAAACGCGGCGCTGCGTGCTGAAGACGGCGACGAAACAGTTTTATTTCTTGGCAGCAAACCACAAAGCAAATCCCCCGTTCTTCAGAGACATGCTGGCGCCCAGGGCGCCGCTCTCCGTCTTGTGTTCAGATATCATAGGAAACCCTGAACAGTAAGGCTGACTCTTGCGCTGCTGCTCTGGCTGCTGCTCTTTATGCTGCCGCGCTTTCGCTTCTTGCTTGCTGCTCTCGCTCCGGATGTTGCTGCTGCTGCGCTGGCCGCTGCTGCTCCCGCTGCTGCTGTGATTCTGACTTTCGCATGAACTACTTCAGCCCCCTTTTTGCATGGGCAGTCTTGTTGCGATAGTTTGCTGCAGCTCTGTTTGCTACTGCTGTGATCGGCTGCTCCTTTTGCGCTCTTTTTGCACCTATGTTCTAATCAGGGCTACTCCCTATACAATGGCTACTATGAATATAGCTCTTGCAGCATGTGGCGGCTCTTCTTGTTTTTGTGCAGCTGTTGTTCCCCTGTGTTGTGTTCGTGGCCGATTATAAGGTATTCACCCACTTGTGCATGCATGAATAGTTTGGAGAAAATATGAAATCTTTTCCAAGGGCTGGCTTGCTGCTGTTTCTTTGGGGCTGTCTTTGCAGTTTCGGCGTTGGCTGCGTTGCCTCCTTCTTCTCGGTCATTACGGACGCTGTCTCCGACGCCCCCCGTCACGCCACAGCGATCGCACAGTTGCCTGTCGTGTCTCTGCTGCTGGCCTCCCTGCATGCGTCATACCTGCGCATTTACTTGCAGCAGCATCAGCAGCAGCAGCTGCAGCTGCAGATGCAGCAAGAGGGCCGGGAGAAGGAGGAGGGTCAGGGGCCAGGGGAAGGCCTAAGCCCGCAGTTTCACCACCAGCAGCCGCTACTGATGCTCTGCGAGCAGCAAGACATGCATCTGCTACTGCGGAGGCAGCAGCTAGCACAGCAATGCGTGCTGCTGCACGAGGGCACCCTCAACGCCTTGGGAGCCTTCATCACCGCCTTGGCCTCGCACACTGCCGGCCTGCGCGTCCTTAGGCAAGACAAGGTGACAGAGCTCGTCGATTCGGAGCTTCAAAAGCTGCAGCAGCCAAATAAACAGGAGACGGAACAGCAGCAGCAGCAGCAGCCCCAAGGTCAGTCGCAGGAGGGGGCTGCGCCCGATGGGGAGCAGCAAACCCCAAGCGCTGCTGTCCCTTCAGGCCCTTCGGGACAGCAGCAGCAGTCGCCTGCTGCAGCAACAGACCAAGCTGCCGAGCCAGCGGGACGTGATCAAGCAGCGACGAGCGCTGCAGAAACAACTGCTGCAGCCACAGCAGCAGAGGCTGCACCAGCGGCAGCAACCGCGGCAGCAACCGGCGGCGAAGAGTCAAGTCAAATGGAAGTGTGTGGGACGCACCCACAGAACGAAGGTGCAGCAGCAGCGACTTCAGCAGCAGCTACAGGGCCACCACCTGCAACACGTGCTGCAGCAGAAGTGGCTGGGCCCCCACAAGACGAGGCGGGAGCGGTGCAGGCGGAGAAGGACGCTTTGCTGCTGCTGCGGCGGCACTTGCAGCTGCAGCAGGAGGACCTCCTGTCATTCCAGGGAGCACTGCGGCACCCAGATGGGCGCTTCTCTCCGTGGGCTGCCTGTTCTCTTCTGGTGCATGCTGCTGCTTCTGCGGATGTGGTTCTTCTTGACAGATTCGGAGAAGCTGCAGCAGGGGTGAGCGCGCTGGGGGTGCTTATGCTGCTGCTGAAGTTCGCTGTGCTTGCTGCTGGGGCATTTTTTGGGTGCTTCGGCTGTTCTCTCTGAGCAGCAGCTTGTTGCTGCGGTGTGCTATTGCTGCTGCTGAAGCACCGTCTTGGCTGTGCCTGCTGCTGGGGTATTTCTTCGTTGCTTCGGCTGTTCTTTCCGCACAGCAGCTTTTTCCTGCTGGTGTGCAAAGGGTGGGGTTGTTGTTGCTGCTTCTGCAGCTGGGGACTGCGCTGGACGAAGTGCTGGGGGCCATAGCGAATTCGTCCACCTCGACTTCGGAGTCTTTGGGGGGCACTGAGGCCAGAGACGCTCTGGTCCGCCAGACGCTGCTGCTGCTGCAGCAGCTCATCGTTGCAGCAAAGAAGCTTGAGCCCTGGAAGCCCGTGTCGCCGGCCCGCGCAGCGGAAGAGACTCGCCAGAAGGCCAAGCAGCGGCCTATGGACGTTTCGGACTTGGAGGTGAGCAACAGCTGACTCTCGCTGCTGCTGCTGCTGCCGCAGCTGCAGCTGCTGCAGCTGCTGCTGCTGCAGTTTCTTGTTGCTGCGGAGGGTCGTTGCTGCTGCGTGTAGCGGGTGCTGCTTCTCATGCACTGCTTCCTGCGCTTTTGCTGCTGCTGCGCTGCTGCTGGGCTGCGCAGCTGCGAGGTTCTTCTTCGGAATGGCTTTTGGATCGGCTGGCGAATGCTGGTCGATTTTTGTCTGCGTTCTTGGCTTCGACGGAGACACAAAGGTCCTTTGTCTCTCGAGGGGGCATTGTGCTGCTGCTGCAGCTGTGCGACAGCAGCTGCCTGCCCCCCGGCCTGCTGCACCTTTTCCCCCAGCACCCCCTCGTGCACGTGCTGCGCCATGCGGCGCCGTACGACTCCACGCTGCAGCAGCAAGCAGTGCAGCAGCTGCTGCTAGACAGGGGGCTTTTCGCGCTGCAGCGGCTGCTGACCCTGAAGCGGCGTTGGCAGGAACAGGGCTTCTGGCCTTGCCGTGCGCCTGCACCGGAGGTTGCTGGTGCTGCCGCTGCTGCCGCTGCTGCAGCAGGCGTGCAGCAGCAGCCGCAGCTGCTGTCTACGATGCCAGAGCCTCTGCGCTCAATTCCAAGAAATGAAAGAAAAGAATTAGTGTTCGCGTTGCATGCTTGCTGCAATGCCATCACCCTCATGCTGTCGCTACACCGCGAGTTCTGTCAGGCGTACGGGACAACGCCTTCTAGGGCTACTCCGCCGTTTGCGCAGCAGCAGCACGTCCACCAGTTGCTGCTGTTGAACCTCAGCCACCTGCTGCTGCTGCTGCAGCCTTTGCTGCCTTGGCTGCTGCAGCTGCTGTATGCATGCGCCGTGCCGGCGGACGGTGAGAACCCGTCGCTGCTGAACCAGAAGCACAACAGCCACGAGCACCCCTCAGTAAGGGCCAGCAGGCTGCTGCACGAGGAGCAGCAGCAACAGCAGCAGCAGTCCAAGCTAGGCACAGCAGCAGCTGCAGCAGATCAGCCTCTCTCCAATAACGACATGCTATGGAGCTCTCTGGGCGAATTCGCCTACTCGTCGCCTCCTCCCCTGCCAGCTGGCTGCAGCAGCAGAATCAGCAGCAGCAGCAGAATCAGCAGCAGCAGCAGCAGCAGCAGCAGTGACAATAACAACGCCAGCAGCGGCGCCAGCGCTGAAGCCAGCAGCGCCGCCGCCGCCAGTAGCAGCGATAGCAGCAGCAGCGACGGCATGAGAAATGCAGTGGGCAGCGGGGCCAAATTCATATCAGATGAAGCAGCAGACAGTCCAGTGGTCCTTCAGGAGCTGCTGCGCGCAGCTTGCCTTACTTTCAGGAACTTCCTCTGCATGGTGAGTATTTTCTTCCTTGAGCATGGCCTGCTGCTTGCGCTGCTGCAAGGCCTGCAGCAGCAGCGGCTGCTGCTGCTGCTGGTTCTTGAAGGTGCGGCAGCGGCGGCTGCAGCTGTCCAGCAAACTCTTGTTTTGTGGAAATGCATCTCTTTTGCCGAACACGGGGCTCCTGGACTCTAATGGGCCTGTTTGGCGCCTGCAGAATAGCTGCCGCTGCTGTTTCTGCTGCTGCTGCTGCTATCGCTGCAGGTGAGCCGCCAAATTAATGGCGGCGGGCTCCGCAGGAAGTCGCCGCAGCAACGGCAAATTGCGTCGGCTCATTTATTCCTCATAGCGGACACGGCAAGAGGCTTCTTGGACTCTATTCCTTCTGTCCCGCTGCCTGTGGCTCCGCTACTGCATGCACTGCCAGCTGTGACTGCTGCGGCTGGCAGCAGCTGTAGCAGCGCGCAGCAGCTGGTCGAGCCTGAGGCTGCAGCTGCTGCGGTGGACGCTGCGCGCGCAGCAGCAGTAGCAGCCCCCAGCTCGGCGGCCGAGATGGAGGTGGACAGCGGCGTCAGCAGCAGCAACAGCAGCAACAGCAGCAGCAGCAGCAGCAGCAGCAAGTTCAGCATTCAAGGGCTCTCAATGGCACAGTCGCTTTCCTACTTGTCAGACGTTTGCGACATTCTGTACAAATTGCACGTTGACGAAAAGAGTAAAGGAGTCCTGATGACCCTCAGCTTCGACCTGTTCCACAAGGCAAGTAGCCTTTGGAGAAGAGCAGGAGGAAAAGCAGGAGCAGCAGGCCCAGCAGCAAAAGTAGCAGCAGCAGCAGCAGGCCCAGCAGCAAAAGTAGCAGCAGCAGCAGCCGAAGAGCGTTTTAAATAACGGCGCCAGCGGCTCCAGAAGCAGGGGCGCAGGGCGACTCACAGCTACTGCTGCGCTGCAGCAGCACTGTTGCCGCTGCCAGCTAAACAGCCACACGCTGTCTGTTGCTGCTGCTTTGCGCGTTTTCAGGTTGGAGGGTTCTCTGCGTTCCTGCGGGCTTTTCACTACAGTGCCGCATGCAACGTTGCGGTGTGTGCACTGTTGGCTACTCGGGTGTGCTCCTGCTGCAATCCGATGGCTGTGCAGCAGCAGCAGCAGCCGGACCAGCAGCAGATGCATCAGCCGCAGCAGCAGCAGCAGCAGGCTGAGACAGAAGCCTTCGAGGCGATCAAGCCGTGCACGCATCTCACAATACGGAAGATGCTTCCAGTATCCCTGTTTGCTGCAATCGTTCCAAGCCAAGACCCGAAGCAGCAGCAGCAGCAGCAGCAGGAGGCAGAGGAACGCCAGGCAGTCTTCATCCAGTGGGTCGAGGAAGCAGCAGCACACATTGCTGCTGACTGCCTCTCAATTTCCCAGCTGGTCTATTTGCGGAACGTCGCAGCTCGCCAACTGCAAAGCTGCCTCACCTATTTGGACAGGGTCACTTCCTGGAAGCGCTGCATGAACTCTGCGTTCACGGCGCAGGCTGTGAGGTGGGCTGTGGCTCTCGCTGCTGCCGCAGCTGCTGCTGCTGTCAGTGCTTCTGCTGCTGCTACTGCTGTCTGTGCTGCTGCTGCTGCTGTCAGTGCTGCTGCTGCTACTAGGAAGGCGATGGCGTCCCACTGTTACTGCCGCTGCCGGTGCCGTGGAGGTGGGGCTAGCGAAGTTCTTTGCTGCGTGCATTGACTGTCCTTTAGAGAGCTGCTGCTGCTTTTGCTGCTGCAGGTACTACCCGAGGCCCTCTTACTTCGAGCCTATGGAGGATGACGGGCAGCAGATAACTGCTCCGGCAGCGGCGGGAGAGGCCACGGCCCCACTTCCCGGCGGTTTCATTGGGGCGGGAGTCGACCTTGATCTGGGCAGCAGTAACAGCAACAGCGGCAGCAGCAGCAGCAGCATCAAGGAGGAGAGCAGCAGCAGCAGCAGCAGCAGCAGCAAGCTGATGACATACTCAACGTCGCTGGAGACGCTGAGCGTGGCGTACTCGGAGCTGCACTACTTGTGCTGGGCAGACCGCGGGCAGCTATCATCCGTGTGGACTTCAGCGGGAGCTGCTGCTGCCGGCGAGACTGAGGAGCAGCAGCAGAAGCAGCAGCGGCTGCAGGAGCTGCTGCTGCAGATCATCGTGCACCCAGACATTGCCTGCATAGATGCTGTGGGAATGCTCCGAAGTGTCGGCTGCGAGGCAGCAGCACACACTTATGTCTGGTGGGTCTTTGTGGCTCGCTGTGGGGCCCCGCTAACGGAGCGCCAGGTGCTGCAGCACTTTCCTCTGCACAAGCATTCAGCAGCAGCTCCGGCGCCGGACGCGGCGCCTGCCAGCCCTGCTGCTCTGCCTGGGAACCCTGGCGAAGCCATCGGAGCAGCAGCACTGGAGCCTCTTGCTGCTACTGCACGCGGCCGCGGGAGCGCCTCGGCAGGCGCAGCCAAGCGGGCGGGCAGCCGCCGCAGGGGGCAGCAGCAGCAGCAGCAGCAACTGCAGCAGCAGCAAGCTGGCGCCCCAGTGGGAGCCCTCGGCAAGGAGTCCGAGGACTGCAGCGACGAAGCCTCTCGGCAGCTGCACGTCCTCATTGCTCCTTCGCTGCAAAGAACAATTCTGTTCTTTCCCCGCATCTTCTTCCACCTTCTGGATACTCAGGTAATGGTTTTGTGCCTGGGGCTTGCTGCTGAGGGCTTGGGCTAGGGGTGCGACACAGTTTGCTTTTGCCGTCGCCGGCTGCAGCAGCAGCTGCAGCAGCAGCTGCAGCAGCAGATGCGTGCGTGTTTTTGCTGCCTTTCAGACGCCTCAGCGCCGGCAGCAGCTTCGAAGAGTCTACGCACACACTGTGGAGGCCGTGGGCACAGCGCAGCAGCAACGGATGATGGTGCCGGGTGGCGGGTCTGCTGCAGCAGCAGCTGCTGCTGCAGCGGCGGCAGCTGCTGCAGCAATCCAGCAGCAGCAACAACAGCAGCTGCTGTTGCTGCACCAGCAAGTGGAACAGCTCGTGGAGATGGGCTTTTCCCGCGCTGACGCGCGAAGGGCAATTGAGTCCTCAGGTGGAAGAGGTGTCGAGGCTGCAATGGACTTTCTGCTGGACATGCAGAGGCGGGATGTTGCTTCCGGGGAAGAGCAGCAGCAGCAAGACAGCAGCACAGGCGGCACCCCCCGTGGGGACGAGGCAGCTGCTGCAGCGCCTGCCGCGCCGGCTGCTCCCCCAGAGGCCAGCCCGGCAGCAGCAGAGCAGCAAGACAGCAGTAGCAGCAGCAGCGCTGGCAACCCAGGTGGAGACTCAGCCCCAACCGAGCCAGCAGCAGCACCTCCGGCAGAGGCCCAAGCCGCGGAAGCTCCAGCAGAAGCACCAGCAACGCCAACTGCCCCTCCTTCAGCTGCAGCCACTGCAGCAGCAGAAGCTTCTGAAGCTTCTCGATCAAACGCAGCAGCAGCAGCAGCAGGGGCTGGGGCTTCAGACGGAAGCCGCGCAGTGTCGCCGTTGGCTGCAGCAGCAGAGACTTTGTATGGGGCCATCCACGCGACTCCGCCCCAGCAGCTGCCCTCGGGTGTCATGCGTGCTGCACTTAGTGCAGCAAGTGCTGCTGCTGTTGCTTTGCCTCTGTCGCAGCCCTCGCTGCAGCTGGCTGGGGACGGAGAAATCAGGTGGACTTGTGGGCTGCTGCGCGACCAGCTGCAGCAAGAAGCAGTCTGGGGAACGCCGCCGCAGCCCCTGCTGCAGGCGCTGCTCAGCATTGCCAGCAGCAACAGCGAACTGGCAACCAGGCACATGCAGGAATCCAGCAGCAGCAGCAGCAGCAGCAACACTTGTACCGTTGGCGCGTCGACAGCAGCCTTGGTGAATGCGTTCACTGCGGTAACGGGCCAGCCGGAAACTCAAGAGCCATGGATGGACCAGCAGCAACAGCAGCAGCAGCAGCAGCAGCAGGAAGAGCAGCCGCATCAGCAGCAGCAGCAGCAGAACGCGGAGGCGGCGAAGCCGCACGAGCCCACAGAACTCGAGTTGCTGCTACGGTACGCAGACGAGGAAATGGGGCGCCAGCTTCCACCACAGCAGCAGCAGCAAGACAAAGCGATCGACGAGCCGCAGCAGGAGCAGCGGCAGCAACGCGACGTGAAGCGGCCGCCGCAGCTGCAGCGGGTGCTGCACGGGCACTTCAGCGACGCCTTTGCCCTTTCGCTTGGGGCTTTGCTGCGGCACAGGCTGCTTGAAGATCTCATTTCGAGTGCATGCGTTTCTCCATTAGGAGTCCCGGGTCTTTGTGAGGTCTTTTTGAAGCTAATCTGCTCATCCTGCGACCTGCGGCCGCAGCCGCTGCAGCAGCAGCAGCAGCAGCAGCAAAAAGAAGGGGCCGCAGACGCAGAAACTGCAGCACAGGGAGAGGCCGCTGCTTCCGCTGGAGCCGAGGAAGACGGGGGTCAGATGGCAGCTCCCCCAACCGAGCAGCTTTACCCGTGGGAGGCGGAGAGCAGCAGCAGCAGCAGCAGCAACAACAGGGGCACGCGGCAGCTGACCTCTGTGGAGAAGAACACTGCTGCTGCAGTGTATATGCTCGTGCTCAGACTGGCATACCTGCGTGCTGCTTTGCAGCACCTAGTGAAGGCAGACCCGACTCTAATGGGGTGCAGGGTGCCCTCAGCAGCAGTTGCTGCGGGTACAGGAGCAGCAGCAGCAGCAGCACGCCAGAGCGACCTTCAACGGGCAATGGGAGTCCACGTCTGCATGCGTGCCCAGCAACAGCTGTACTGCTGCAGCTTTTTCATGGCGCACTTGCTGCACCGGCGTTTCTGTTGGAAAAGCATGCTGCAGCAGTGTGCAGAGGCAGCAGCAGCGGCGTGTGAGCCAGGCAGCGCAGCAGCAGCGGCGGCCGCTGCTGCTGCAGCACATCCCATGTCCCTCTTCTCCTCCCTCATCTGCACCTACGCCTCTGCAAACGTCCATACTGCTTCAGCAGCAGCAGCAGCAGGGCAGCCGTTGCTGACGGATGTGAAGGGATGGTTCCAATATCCCGAGATGCTGGATTCGTGCGAAGCCGGAGCAGCGGCAGCAGCAGCAGGAACAGTGAAGGCCTCCACACTGCTGCCGCTACCGGGCTGGTGCCTCCTGAGCTATCCACCCACAGGCACCATGGCCATTCAGGAGCTGCGTGTTGCTGCTGCAGTGCCCAAGTACGGTTTGCTGCGACTGATTCCAGTGGACGGCGTGGAGGCGCAGAGAGAGCAGCTGCAGCAGCAGCAGCAAGGCGCAGCAGCAGCAGCTGGTACTATCATCACCGACCGCCCATCGGGCCTCAATGCACCTGCTGCCTCGTATCTTGCGGCCTTCGTCTTGCCTTCTCTGCTGTGTATGGAAGAAATGATGCACATGTATCTGCTGCAGGACACAGCAGCAGCACACGATGCGCAGCAGCATGAGACTGGCACCAGCAGCAGCACTGGCAGCAGCTGTAGCAACGCGGGATCGGATTCCCTTACCTCTGCAATGGGGGCCTCCATTGTGGCCGCCAACAACAGCAGCAGCAGTAGCGGCAGCAGCAGCAGTTTAGCACAGCCTGCTCTCACGGGCAGTAGCCAGCGAGGGGTAACGCCCTCAAGAGCCACCCGTTCTGCGCTTGGCAGCACCAGCAGCACCAGCAACGGCAGCGACAGCAGCAACAGCAGCAGGAACGAGGCGGCACCAGGAGGGGCAGCTGGCGATGTGGGGTTCGATGAGCTGCTGCGGTCATTCACTGCAGCAGAGCAGCGGCAAGTGGTTGCTTCTTGCCTAGACTTGCTGCTGGTGTTCCCTGCAGCAGATGGCGACACAGTGCTGGCGATGCTGCAGCTGCTGCGGCGGCTTACCTCGATTTACAGCAACGCCTTGATGCTGCTGCTGCACCAGCCGAAGGGCCGCTACCGGGCGGCCCCCGTGGCTAGTCAGCAGCAGCAGCTGCCGGTGCAGCACCACCACCACCAGCACCACCACCACCAGCAGCAGCAGCTGCAGCAGCCCCTGGGCTGGGGCCTGGGCGTGCTGCTGCGGCTGCCGCGGACTGCAAGCTGCAGCGGGCTGGTCTCTTTGCTGTGCGCCATAATAACAAATGTCCTCGAGGAGCCTTCTCTCATTGCGGCATGCGTGGAGAGGGGCTTGCGAGTGGCTTTTGCTGCTAGCAGCAGAATGGCTCACCAGACACACCTCAGAGTACGCTGAGTGCAAGCCCGGCTCCACCTGCAGCAGGTTTTCCTGCTGCTGCTGCTGCTGCTGCTGTGGTTTCGATCCTGGGCTGTGTCGATGCTGCGGCTGTAGTTTGTGCTGCAGCAGCAGGTGGGGTTGGGGTCTAGTTGCGTGTTTCTCTTGGCGTGCCAGTTACCACACTTCGGTGCAACTTTGCTGCTGCTGCTGCTGCTGCTGTGCTCGTGCAGGTCCACGGGAACTCTCCTACGGAAGAAACGCCTGCGCCGTTGCTGCCTGTCGAGTCTGTGCTAAAGTCTTTGGGGCCGCTGCTGTCGCGGAACCCTTCTTTGGTGGAGCAAGTGCTGAGTTACTGCTGCAGCATCCACAGGCAGGTGCTGCAGCCGGAAGACCCGCAGCAGCAGCAACAGCAAAAGCAGCAACAAGAAGGGCAGGAGGGCGCAGAAGGAGGGCTCCCTGAGGGCACTTCAGCGCCTGCAGCAAACAGCCAAGAACAAGCCTCAGACACATCAGCTGTAGCTGCCAGCACCCGCACGGGAAGTGCAGCAGCTGACGACGGCTGCAGCACGGCAGCAATGGCCGAAGACACGGCGGCCACAGCAGCAGGCGCCCAAGAAGATGTGAGCGGCAGCAGCAGCAACAGCAACAGCAACAGCAGCAACGACACCAGCAGCATTGTGCCGCGCCAGTTTTATCCCAGCAGCATTTTCGTAGGCCCCAAGGCAGGCTATCTCTTCGGCAGGGGCTCCAAAGGTTTGGGGTATTATTACTGCAGCAGCAAAAGCGGTGACAGCAGCAGCAATGTCAACGGAAGCAGCGCAACTGATGGGCGCACGTGGTGCTGCAGCGACAAGTCCTTCCAGGAAGTTTTGCTGCTGGGATGGCTGACGGAGGAGAAGCGGCAGCAGCAGCAGCAGCAGCAGCCACAGCAGCAACAGCTGCAGCGCCGAGTGCGGCGGCTGCTACAGGCTGCAACAAAGCCTCCAGTTGTGGGTCCAGTGGTCCTCTCAGTGCTTTTGGATCACTTGGTGCTGCTGCTCAGCGTGCATGCATGGACAGTTCCTGCGCCGCTGCCGAAGCCGGCGCAGCAGGAAGAGCAGCAGCAGCAGCAGCAGCAGCGGGAGTGGCGGCAGATGTGGGAAGTGGAAAAAGGCCTGCATTCACATACACAAAAGCCAGTGTTTCCCTTCATTGTCACTGCTGATCGTCTTCTTTACATTTTGACGCAGCTTGTGTCTCTTTTCCCCCACATGCTGCCGCTGCTGCTTAAGCCCATTTCACTGGCGTTTCCCGCTGCACTGTCCCATGCACAGGACAGCAGCAGCAGCAGCAGCAGCAGCGCAGCAGCCGCTGCCGTGCAGGTGAGTGGCCGCAGTGCTGGGCGGACGAGGCTGAAACAGCAGCAGGGGCAGCAGCAGGCAAATGGAGTCAAAATGGAGATAGCTGCTGGCCCGAAGCAGCAGCAGCAGCAGCATCTGCTGCACCTCGAGCCCAGACTGTACATGAAGGAGCCGTTTCCTTGGCCGTTTGTCTCCTCTTGCCCCGAGTTGCTGCGGTGCTGCGGCAGCGACGTGCGGCTGCTGCTGCAGCACGGGACCAAAGACCAGCAGCAGCAACAGCACCAGAGCTGCGGGGGTCCACCGCGCATGTCTGTTGTTGACGTCTTGGTGCACGAAGTGCTGCCGCGGTTGCTGTCAATCTCTCTTGCGGGGACCTCGCAGGCTTCCAGCCAGCAGCTGCAGCAGCAGCTGCAGCAGCAGCAGCAGCAACAACGAAAAGCAGCAGCTGGGATGCTGCAGCAGTTTTCCAATCTGCTGGCAGCCATGGGAAGCAGCAACGCGGAGATGCGCCTTGTGCTGATTCGCCACGTGGTGACTTTGCTGCGGGTGGCCAGGGGGCGCGCAGCAGCAGCAGCAGCAACAGCAGGAGACCTCAGCAGCAGCAGCAATAGCATGACTGCAGAGGCATTGGAGGCACTAAAGGGCAAGGACCTCTTGGACATTAGTGTGGTTTCTGTTCTGGCGGGGCTGCTTCAGCGGCTGCTGGCAGCAACTCCTCCTGTGCTGCCTGCACATGCGCAGCAGCAAAATTCCAAAGTGCCAGCAGCAGCAGCTGACGCAACAGCTGGCTGTTCAGACACCACACGGCCACCTAATAACCCGCGGCCAGATGGAGACGGCGGGGATGTGGGCGGCGCGGACTGTCCGGGAAGCGCTCAGCAGGAACAGCAAAGCAGCAGCAGCTGCAGCAACAGCAGCAGCAGCAACAGCAACAGCAGCAGCAGCGGCGGCGGCGCTAGCGGCAGCAGCAGCGGGAACAGCGGCACTAGCAGCAGCGGGAACAGCGGCACCAGCAGCAGCGCAAGCCGCACGCGAAGCAGCGGGGCCGCGCAAGGCACAGCCAGCAGCAGCAGCAGCAGCAGCAGCAGCGCCAGCAATGGCGGCGACGACGGAGACGATGGGGAGCGACCCAACAGCAAGAACTCGGGCCGCCCTTCAGACCTGCTGGAGGGCACAGACCTGCAGCAGCAGCAAACAGCTCGAGCTGTTCAATGCCTGTCTCCTAAGGAGCAGCGGCAGCTGCGGGAGCTGCTCGCTGGGCTGCTGCTGCAGCTGAGTCTGCAGGCTGAAGACAGCCACGCTGTGGCGACGAGCATCATAAGGTGCCTGCTGCATCTCACATCTCCTCCAGCTGCGCAGCTGCCAGGGCTAGAGACGGGCAAGCAGCAGCAGCAGCAGCAGCAGCACAGCGGCACGGGGCGCGTGTCTCCCCCTGGAAGCATGGGCAGCGGCGGCGACCCTGCTGCTGCAGCAGCTGCAGCAGCTGCAGCAGATGCTGCAGAGGGAGAGGAAGAGGAGAGCGATGAGGGCGACGAAGACGATGCAGACCTCGACGAAATGGACGAAGACGAGGAGGGGGACCTCGAGCTGGTGCTGGAGGAGGACAGCAGCAGCAGCAGCAGCAGCAGCAGCAGCAGCGAGCTGGAGGACGACGACGAGCAGCAGCAGCAAGAGGACGGAGAGGCCACGGCTGCGGCCCGCGACGCGCTCGCCGCCGGGGAGGCCGACGAAGCCGAAGGCGGAAGCTTGTCTGCTGCTGCTGCTGCTGCGGAGGAAGCAGCAGCAGCAGCAGACGCAGACAACGACCACGAACCTGAGGACGATGAAGAAGACGATGATGAAGACAATGACGATGATGATGAAGATGGCTTTGCGGAACTTTCTGTCTTAGATGGCCTCGGCGATGAAGACGACGAGGAGTCGCAGGATGACGAGGAATACGGAGGTGAGTAGCAGCAGCAAGCTTTGCCCCAGTAGCAGCTAGTTGCTGCCTGTGCAGCACGAGCAGCTAGGTGCTCCCGCTGCAGCAACAGCAGCTAGTTCACAGCAGAAGAAGAGGTAGTTGCTGCATCTGCAGGAGCAGCAGGGTAGTTGCAGCCTCAGCAGCAAGAGCAGCAGGCAGTTGCTGCCTGTGCAGCAGCAACAGCTAGAGGGCCTTTTAGCCGCTAGCTGCAGCCTGCGCAGCAGGAGGAGCAGCGAGTTGTTGCCGCTGCCAGCTGCGCAGCAGTGGGAGCAGCCGCGCTGGGCGCGGGTTCCGCTGCAGCAGCAGCAGCAGCTGCTGCTGCACCAGCCGCTGCTGACTGCGCAGCAGCGGAGAGTGGCGTGGGCGTGCAGAGAACAGCGAAGACGAAGAGAGCGAGGGGGCTGTGGCGGGCCGCGGGGCCTTCCTGGGCTCCGGGCGGCTGCCCCACGAAATCGACTTGGAGTCCGAGGGGGGGCGGGCGCTGCAGCTGGCCGGCGAAGACGGCCAGCTGCTGGGCCACGCGGAGGGCCCGGAGGGTCTCGACGAAGACGAAGATGAAGACGAAGACGAAGACGACGAAGACGACGATGACGACGCCCCCAGAATCCGGGTGAGGCCCAGCGACGCAGCAGCAGCAGCAGCAGCAGCGGCGCACCGCGGGACCCTGCAGCAGCTCGCAGCAGCCGCGACGCGCTCAGCCTCGCGCTGCAGCAAAACAGCTGCAGCGCGGGGACACCTGCAGCAGCCTCGGGGCTCCGGGGCTCTGGCCCAGCCCTGCAGCAAAAGGGATCCAGGTTTAGTGTTTGCTGTAGAACGCTGGGGGGCGCTGTGGGTATGGGGCTTAGGGTTTAGGGCTTAGGGTTTAGGGCTTAGGGTTTAGGGTTTAGGGTGTGGGGTTTGGGTTCTTCTCGGCCTCAGGAACGGGGCGAAATAGACTATCTTGCGGGGCCTGAAGAGGAAGACTTGGATGGCGCAGACATTGTGGATGGGCTGCACCCCTTGGGCTCGGGGGCCTCCCAGGGGCCCCTGCTGGCCCACGCCTTTCTTGAAGAAACAGTTGTGCCCAGAGACCCTCCCCCTCCGCCGCCTGCAGCGCAGGGGCCTGCTGCTCCGGCTGGTGGCGCAGCACAGCAGCAGCAGGACCCGCCTCCGCCTGCTGCTGCTGCTCCTGCTGCTGGCGCAGCGGCAGGAGCTGCTTCGGCCTCCGGCCCACGCGACGGCGCCCCCATGGAGGCGGACGAGCAGCAAAACCCGCAGCAGCAGCAGCAGCAGCAGCCGGCTGGCAGCAGCGCAGTCGATCCCTCAGCAGCTGGAGCGGTGGGGGGGGAGAACCTTGAGCAGCAGCAGCTGCAGCAGCAGGGCACTTCGTTGTCTTCTTCGGCTCCCGCAAGCAGCGCGGCAGCAGCCCCTGCTGCTGCAGCCACAGGCGCGTCAGGCCTCGCGGCCCAAGCAGCAGGAGCAGCAGCAGGAGCCCAGGGGGCTGCGACCCAGCGGCGCGGCCACCGCGGCACCGGCAGCAGCAGCCACAGCAGCAGCAGCAGCAGCGGGGTGCGCTCGCGGGGCACCAGCGGGCCCTGGAGAGCAGCAGGCGAGGGCCGGGGAGGCCGCAACGCCTTCGCGGGATTAGACCGGGGGGTTTTGGGTTTGCTGGAGGACGAGGAGGACGAGCTGGAGAGCGAGTCTCAGGAGGAAGCAGCAGCAGCAGCTCCTGCTGCTGCTGCTGTGACGGCGGAGTCCGTCAACATCATTAGCTCGGCGCTGCAGCGAGAGCCACGAGGGGCCTTCAGGCTGCAGAAACACTTCGGGGGCCTCGCGGGGGCTGATGATGCTGCAGTGATTCGTTCAGTGCTGCAGGAAGCAGAGGAGAGGGGCATAACTATAGCGCCTTTGACTTCGGGCCACACGGGGGGAGGCTCGCGGCGGGCGGGGGCAGCAGCAGCAGCAGCGCCCGCAGCAGCAGCAGCAGCAGCAGCAGGCATCAACGGCGACGACCTCATGGGGCAGGCCCCACAGTCCCCCCCTGATGCTGATCTGCTGCCCCCCTCGGAGCACCCGCTGTTTCTGCAGTGCCCGAGGCCTTCTCCTGCGGCTGTGAGTCACCACCACAGCAGCAGCAGCAGCAACAGCAATCCGTTTGCGCTCTTCAGCAGCAACGGGGGAAGCAACGTCATCACCACTGCAGGAGCAGCAAACCTCGGTGACAGGCTGCTCGACACTCTCTTCGAAGACATCGCAGGGGGGCTCTTCCGCCCTGCTGCTGCGCGCCGCCACGGGCAGCAGCCACGCGTGCTGCAGCAGCAGCTGCAGCAGATTCGCCAGAGCCGCGAGCAGGAAGCTGCAGCAGCCGCTGCAGTGGCTGCGGCTGCCGCCGGCGGAAGGCAGCAGCAGCAGCCCGTCGGCGACATGAGCTCAGCCGTCTCCGTACCAACATCAGCAGCAGCAACTATGGCAGCAGCAGCAACAGCAGCGCAACACATGCTCTCCACTTTCGTAGTCGACAGACTGGGCACACGGAACATCAACCGTATCGAAGTTGACCCAGCGCCTCTGCAAGCTTGCCCTTCCCCGCAGACATCGGCTCCAGCTGAAGCAGCAGCAGCAGGAGCAGAAGCAGCTGCAGCGCCGGCAGATGGCGCAGCAGCAACAGCAGCAGCAGCAGAGGGAACTCCCTCAACAGTTGTACAGGCGGAGGGCGTGACGCCTCATACTGCAGAAGACGCAGCAGCAGAACGCCCTGCGGCTTCCGCAGACGGCGAGGCGATAGTTTTGGACCAGCCTGCAGAGGGCTCGGCAGCAGCAGCAGCAACAGAAGCAGCAGCAGTGGAGACTTCAGCGACAGAAGAGACCCCATTGACGCAGCAGCTGCAGCAACAGCAACAGGAACAGCAGCAGCAGCAGCAGGAGCAACAGCAGCAGCAGCAAGGCTCGCAGAGTCAGTCGCCCACACCGAACACTGCGGCAACCTCCGCCACAGGGCCTCCTGCTGCCAACTCAGCTGTTGCTGCAGCGCAACGTGAGGCAGCAGAAGGAACGGCAGATGCAGCACCTGCTGAGCCGGAACCAGCAGCAGCAGCAGCAGCGCCAGCAGCAACAGCGGCACCAGCAGCAGCAGCCGCTGATGGAGACTCTATGGACGTGGATACTGGGGATGCGACTCAGCGTGCCACGAGCAGCAGCAGCAGCAGCAACGACAGCGGCAACAACAGCAGCAGCAACAACGATAGCAGCGACAACGACAGGAGCAGCAGAGAGCCACCTCTGGCTTCGCTTGCATGCGCTCTGGGGCTGACTGAGGCCTCGCTGCTGGAAGCAGCAGGAGTGGATCCCTCTTTCTTGGAAGCTTTGCCTGCAGATTTGAGGCAGGAGATACTGCAGCAGCAGCTGCGGCTGCTGACGATAGAGGCGGTGGAGATGCGCAGAGCAGCAGCGCGACCTGCTGCTGCAGCACCCGCAGCAGCAGCAGCCGGCTCAGAGGGGGCAGCAGCAGCAGCTACCGGCGCTGGCCCCGACCAGCCACCCGCAGCAGCAGGAGGTACAGCTTCCGACACCACACAGGCAACTCCAGCAGCAGCTGCTGCTTCCCCTGCTGCTCAGGCTCCGGGCGACGGAGCGCAGCAGCAAGGCGCGGGCGTGGAAGCAGCGGCGCCGGCGTCAGCAGCAGGCAGCGAGCCAGCAGCAGCAGCAGCAGCGAACGCCGAAGGCGCAGCAGCAGCAGCAGCAGCAGAAGAGCTGCGGCCGCGGCTGCGGGACCTCCCCGTGGACCTGCTGAATGCCTTGCCCGCAGCAGTTCGCCAGGCAGCTGTGGCTGGCTGCCGCGACCGGGACAGCGTGGAAGAAGGAGCAGCAGCTCCAGGAGCTGATGTTGACAATGCAACTTTTCTTGCAACTTTGGAGCCAGCTTTGCGGCAGGAAGTGCTGCTGACTGCAGACGCGCTGGTGCTGGAGGCTCTGCCGCGGGAGCTGCAGGTGGAAGCGGCTTTGCTGCGGGAGCGGGCGATGCAGCGGCAGCAGCAGCGGCAGCAGCAGCAGCAAAGGGCCGCAGCAGCAGCAGCGGCTGCTGCGGCCAACATCAGCGCCGGCGCTGCGGGGGGTGCCCCCCCTCCAGGGGACCGCCCGGGGCGCGGCAGCCGGGGCACTTCCTCGGGGCCCGGGGGGGCCTCCGTGTCGGGGGGCCCCTCGCTGCCTGCTGCCTTTGTGGATGCCTCTCTGGCCCTATTTGGGGGCTTCGAAGGCCGCTGGGGCCCCCTGGGGGGCCCCCACAGCAGCACGGGGGCCCGCCTGCTGGGCATGCCCGCCTCTTCTCTGCTGCCCCGCAGCATTCGGCTGGGGCTGCGGGAGGCCCTGCTGGATGATGCTGTCTTTTCGCGGGAAGGGGAGGGGCCCCGGGGTGCTGCAGCAGGAGGCGACGCAGCAGCTTCTCTAATAGCTGCGCGGGGCATGCTGCAGTCCTCAGCTGCAGCGCGCAGCGCGGCAGCAGGCGGGCCTGCTTCCGGAGCAGCAGCAGCAGCAGCTGCTGCTCGGGGACCGGTGTTCGCCGGAGTGCCCGAGGAGCTGCTGCTGCTGCCCAGCGAGCGGCTGCTGAGGGCCCCCGCTGCACTCTCTGCGCCTCCTGGCCTCACGGGCTTCTCAGGACTTTCGGGACTTGTTGCTTTTCCAAACAGAACAGGAGGCGGAACCCGATTTAGGGTTTCCCAGGGGGCTGGTGGTTTGGGGGGTTCTTTGGGGTCCGCTGCAGAGGCCGCAGGAGGGGCTTTCCGGCAGATTGACTTTCTCTCGCTGCTGCTGAACGGCGGTGCTGCTGCTGTTGCGACCAACGGAGCAGCAGCAGCAGCTCCCCAGGCGCTCTCTGAAGACCTCTGGGTCGGGTTCCTCACTGCAGCAGCAGGGGGAGGAGGGGGGCCCCACGGGGGCCCCTGGAGCGGCGGCGGGGGGCCCCCAGGGGGCCCCCACAGGGGCCCCGGCCGCGGAAGTGGCGGCGCCAACGGGGTCCCTCCCTTCGATTCTTCTCCCCTGAGCATTCCGGGGCTTATGGGAGTTTGCCGCGTCTTGTTTTTGTCGCGAGGAGTCAACAAACGCCTTCTTTTCTTGCTGCTGGCATCTCTTGCTGCCTCGCATGCAGAGACGCGAGATGTGCTGCTGCTGCTGCTGGTCTACATCTGCTGGGTAGCTATTCCTGAGTGCTACACCACGCTGCGGCCCTCTTATCCTGGCCGGGACACGCTGAAGCTGCTGGGTCTGCCGCCAGTGCCGGTGCTGTTGCCACCAGAGGGGTCGCAGCAGCAGCAGCAGCAGCAACAGCAGCAGCAGCAGCAGGGCGGATTCCAGTGCGAACGCTTCGCCATGGGAGGCGCTGCAGCTGAACGCGTTCTTGAGCAGCTGCGCAGCCTGCTGACTGTGCTGCCGCAGGCAGCAGCAACATTTTGCACCAAGATGCCGCACCCGCGGTCTCTTACTTTCCAAGACCTCCTTAAAGTGCAGCAGCGCAGACACAACGCCAGCAGCAGCAGCAGCAGCAGCAGCAGTCACCACTCGCCGCAGCAGCAGCAGGGAGAGGCAAAGAGCGAGGGAGCCCCACTGGCTGCAACGGCGCAGCGAACGGAACAGCAGCAGCAGCAGCCCCAGCAGCAGCACCACCACCAGGAAGGCGCAGCAGAAGGCGGAGAAGATCTAGCCCACGAACTCCGCCGCAAAAAGAAGCGCAGGGAACCCTGCAGCAGCACGGGCACCAGCAAGGACGAAGGAGCAGCAGCAAGCGTGGTGCAGCAGCAGAGTGAGCCCTTAGAGGAGCCCGTGGACGGCGAGTATCTGATCAATGTTCTGATGGTGGGTCGAGTCTGCGGCTGCTGCTTCTTCTCTGCTGCTGCTGTCACTGCTGCTGTTGCTGCTGCTGCCTCTGTTTTGCTTCTGTTTTAGCGTACTTCATGTGGACAGCAGCAGCACAATGGCCTGTGCTCTCTTGTGCTAACTGTTGCAGCAACTGACAGCCACTTCGCTCTTCCAGACTTCGCCGCGCCACATGGCTCATCTCCTTGCTGCGATACACTTGCTGGTAAGCGGTTCGGCGAGCAGCAGCAGCAGCAGCAACAGCAGCAGCCGCAGCAGGCCGCCGAGCAGGTCGTCTGCGCCTGCATCGAGCAGTAGAGCTCAGTCGACAGACAGCCAGGGCCAGGCCAGCAGCAGCAGCAGCTCCAGCGCTGCAGCACCAGGCAGCAGCAGCAGCGCCAGCGCTGCGGTTCCAAGCAGCGGCAGCAGTACTGCTGCTGGGGTGCCGGGCAGCGGCAGCGCGAACTCCGCAGAGCCAGCTGTTGAAGAGATTGTCCCCGACAACGCACTCAGCAGCAGCAGCAGCAGCAGCAGCAGCAATAGCAGCAGCAGCAGCAGCGCTCAGGAAAGCATGCAGGAGCGCATGCTTCGCGTGGTGACCCCTGAGGCCGTAGAGTGCATCTGCGGGCTGCTGTGCTCTCCCCACGTTGCTGCTGCTTGGTCCCAGGTTGTGGGGTTTTCGGCGCAGCAGCGGGAGGCGCAGCTGCAGCAGCTGGCAGTTGTGGCGAAGATCGTGGGGTGTCTGTACACCTCAGCGCAGCACCGCGGGTGGGTCGACGAGGCCCTGCGGCGCAACTGCGACGCCCTCAGCGATGTGCTATCCCAGGAACTTGCTGCTTTATCCAGGACTTTGAACGAAGCAGCGCAGCAGCAGCAGCAGCTGCAGGTTCACGACGACCTCTGGGCCCGCAGAGAGGCCTTGGAGCCCCACTTCGCTGCCTTCTACAGGCTCTGCGGCACCCTCAACGAGGTGTACACTCACCTCCAGCAGCAGCAGCAGCAGCAGCTGCAGCAGCAGCAGGCTAAGTCGCCCGATGCTGCAGCAGGAACCGCCCCTGAAGAACAAGCCGGGGCCGCATCAGCTACAACACCACAAGCAGCAGCAGCACCCGCAGTGGCAGGAGCCGCTGCAAATCAGGTCCCGCTTCCTGCTGCTTCCTTGAATGCAGACATCGACTTGTCAAGTGCACCTGAGGCGCCAGCGGCAGCAGCATCACCTCCAGCTGCGGCAGCAGCAGGTGCAGCAGCAGCAGCAAATGCAGACGAAGGCAGCACAGCGGTAGTTCCCGCTCTTGTTCGGTTCAGGGCTTTCTTTGACGCCTCCAAAGTCCACAAGATTTGGGAGGGTTTAGAAGATGTTCTCTCAGCTGTGGGGGCTGCTTATCCGGCCCTGAGTGCAGAGGCAGCAGCAACGCAGCATAGACACCGCACGCAGCAGGCAGCAGCAGCAGCAGCAGCAGCAGAAGCAACGGCAGCTAGCGGCGCGGCAGCAGCGGGCAGTGCCGGCACCGGCTCTGGAGCAGCTGCAGCAGGAGAGTCGCGGGCTGGGGAAGCTGCCGGCGCGGAAGCTGCTGCTGACGGCGCAGCAGCAGCAGCAGCAGCAGAAGACGGCGAAGGGGCTGTGGTGGAGGAGCGCGAAGCAGCAGCAGCAGGCTCGCGCGAGCTTGCAGCGCCGCTGGTGCTGGCGCAGCTGCTGCCACTATTTGAGGCCTTCCTGCAAGTGCAGCAGCTGTCAATAGCAGCAGACTTGGGTTTGAAGGATGTCTCAATGCTGCAGGAGCTGGATCTGTTTGCTGCTGCGGCGGAGCGGGAGCGCAGCATCGCGGACCGCGCTGCTGCAGCAGTTGCTGCTGCAGTGGACCCCCGCACGGGCATCCCAGATGCAGCAGCAGCACAGGCAGCTTGCTGCAGAGCCAGCGAGGAGCTGCTGCAGTGCGAAAAGCAAGAAGAAGACGGAGGAGGCTTCGGAGTCAGCAGCCGCAGACACTTGGCTCTTTGCTGCTTCTGCGAGCGGCATGTTCTTTGCTTCAACGCGCTGCTGAAGCAAAACCCAAGCCTGCTGTCGGGCCCCTTCTCTCCTTTGCTGCGGCTGACTCCCATGATGCTTTCTTTCGAAAACAAAAGACATTATTTCCGACAAAAGATCAAAGAGATCAGACACGCAAGCAGGGCAGACCACGTGCGCCTCTCCGTCAGAAGGCAGCATGTCTTCACGGACTCTTACCACCAAATCCGGATTCGTTCAGGTCAGCAGCTCGCGCCCGTTTGCTGCAGCAGCACAGGCAGCAGCAGCGCCACAAGCAGCAGCAGCAGCAGTTCTGTTCGGTCCAGCGAAAACAGCATGTAGGCGATAGAGACAGAGGCAGGCAGCTAGCTGTGTTTCGCGTTTCCGTGCTGTCAAAGTCTTGCTGCCGGTGAAGCTGCTGCTGCTGTTGCTGCTGCTGCTGCTGCTGCAGGGGAGGAGATGAAGGGAAAGTTGAACGTGGTGTTCCACGGAGAGGAGGGGCTGGACGGGGGCGGCCTCACCCGCGAGTGGTTTGGGCTGTTGGCGCGGGACATGTTCAATCCGAATTATGCGTTGTTTACGCGCGAAGGCGCCAAGAGCGAATTCAACCAGCCAAACCCTCTTTCTGCCATTAACCCAGAGCACTTGTACTATTTCAAGTTCATAGGCAGAGTCATCGGTGAGGACTCACGCGGGCAAACGCTGCAGAAGCAGCTTAGCCGTTCCGGCTGCTTGCTTCCAGTCGCGTAGTCGAGGGTTTAGCGTTCACGCGATGGTTTAGGGTTTAGAGGAGTGCTTGTTTTCAACGTCTTAATTCGGGGTTTAGGGTTTGTCGGGAGGGTGTAGGGTTTAAAAGAGTGTTTAGTGCGTGCTGTCAGTGTCTCAGTCGAGGGTAGAGGGCGGACGGGAGGGTTCAGGGTTTAGAGGAGAGGGCCTAGTGTTCTCGGGAGCGCTTAGGGTTTGCAGGAGGGTTTGCTATTTACGGGGAGGCTCAACATCTACAGAAGGGTTTAGGGTTTAGGGTTAACGTTAGTATGGTTAGGGGCTTAGGGTTTAGGGTTTTGGCGGCTCCTGGGGCTGTCTGTGCGTAGGCAAGGCGCTGTTTGACGGGCACTACTTGCCGGCTTACTTCTGCCGGTCATTCTACAAACACATGCTGAACAAAAAGTGCTCTATGCGGGACGCGGAGTCGCTGGACCCCTCGCTGTACTCGAACTTGCAAAAGATTCTGGAGTATCCGCTCGAGGACTTGGCGCTCACCGATCTCACCTTCAGCGTCGAGACAGATGAATTTGGAAAACACAAAGTTAATGATCTGCTGCCGGGCGGCCGCCATGTGCCCGTCACAGACGCCAACAAGGCGCTGTATGTGCAGCTCATGTGCCAGCGAAAGATTGCAGGCGGCATTCAGAAGCAGCTCGAGGCATTCCTCAGCGGCTTCCACGAACTTATTCCCCCTTCGCTTATCTCCATTTTCGATGATAAGGTAACAATAGCGAAAGTTCCGGGTCCTGCTGGTGCAGGCTGTGCTTTGGCTGCAGCTATAGTGTTGCTGTCGCTGTTGCTGGGGTTGTGCTGCTGCGGCTGCACTGCTGCTGCTGCTGGTGATGGGGCTGTGGGTAGAAGGCCTTTTTTAGTCTTTGCGAGTGTAGCGTTTTGCTTGTTGCCATTCTTTTGAATCTCGGTCTCAGTCAGTCTGCTGCTTCGTGCTCACCCTGCTGATTCTTTTCGCGTTTGTTCAGGAATTGGAGTTGCTGTTGTCAGGCTTGCCGACAATTAACGTAGCAGACTTGCAGGAGAACACCGAATACGTGAACTACCTACCCACCGAGCAGCCGATACTTTGGTTCTGGGAGGTAAGCACTACTGGCACAAGCCGCAGACACAGACCAGGAAAGCGGCAAAACCGACACACAAATCACTTTATCAAGATCGACAAAACAAAAGCCCACAAAGCACGTAAAAGCAAACTTGACGGGATTTTCGTGAAGTTGGAAAGCCAACAAAAATAGGAAAACAGATAACTGGAACAGAGGCGGCCAGATGGAACGAACACGAAGCAGCGCGAAGCTGCTTCTCCTGTAGATATTGGGCTTTCAACAAAAGTCCTTCTCTTTATTTTTCAACTGGGCATCTAAGTAGAGCTGCTAACCTTAGCTAGCTAGGCAGCTAGCTAGCCAGCTAGCTTGTTTACTTGCTGCGGTGGTTCATGTTCAGATAATGGAGGAGTTCGACACTCCCCAAAAGGCGGCCTTCCTTCAGTTCGTCACAGGCACTTCCCGCGTGCCCATTGGCGGATTCAGAAATCTTGTGGGGATGAGGGGCCCCCAGAAGTTTTCGATTCAGAAGTGAGCTGAGCTAGAACTGCAAAGAGGAGGCCTGTGGGGGGTTTTGCAAGTTGAATGTTTGTGTTCGGGGGCCTTGCCTTTCGTTTGAGTGGCTTGTAGGCCACGTCGCATTTGTATTTTTGTTGTTTTTGTCTTGTTTTCATGTTTAATTATCTTTTTTTGTTCTGTGGGATGAACTGACTTTGGTTTTCATGCCGGTTGTCTTCCGCACGGCTGTGAGCAGCGCTGGGGTTCGTTGGCTGTGCGGAGTTTGCGTGTGTTATTTTGTTTTGACTAATTTGAGATTTTTAATTTTTTAATTGTAGCGAGTCCTGAATTCCCTCTTTATTTATTTCTTCGTTTCAGGGCGTACGGCGAGAACAGGCTGCCCTCGGCGCACACATGTTTCAACCAGTTGGACTTGCCCGCGTACACTTCGAAGGCAATTCTGAAGAAAAAGCTTTTGCTTGCCATTACGGAAGGCAGAGAGGGCTTTGGATTTGTCTAGAGTTTTACGCGGGCAGCTGCGGAGCTGGGCAGCTGCCATTTTTTAGCCTTGCTATCTCGGTTTTCCTCTGTTTTTTTCCCAAGAACTTACACTTTGTTTTCCTTTGGCGGCCGTCTCGGCAGGCGGGAGAAATAGATGTCTAGAGACACGAAACGGGACATAGAAAAAGCTTAAAAATGTTGTTCTTTTATCCCGTCTTTGTTGCACACACACGCCTTGCCCAGGCACACAGCCAGTAAAGCTGCTAACCAAAGATGTAGACTGAGACATAACGGCATGGGCTATAAAAACGCAGGCCTGACACGAACACAAGTTTAAAGCAGCTCTGGGGGTGCAGATTTTAGTTGAGATGGAGACCAAATAGTTTAGACAGAAGCTCTTTGAGAAGCATGGGGTGTCTTGCGTCTCGAGACGAAGCAGACACGAGGGGCGTGCATGCGCTTCCCCCGTGTTGCAGTAAAATCTGCCACCCGCAGCAAAACCCGCAGTGAGTCTGCAGGAAATTCGAAGACAGGCGAGCCGAGGTTTGGCTCTGCTGCAGCGGTTCTGCCTGCTTTGTTCTGAAGGCGTGCAGCCCCCTGCGGGCTCTGGGCTGCCGATCTCAGTGCTGCAGCGCGTCTAAAAGACTCAATTTATTGTTTGCTGCGTGCACGTGGCTGTTATTTATTGGATGGGGGTCTTTGTTTCTATTTTTGCGAAGCTGGCTGGACAATCTGGCTGCAGCGAGCGTCCCGGTGCAGTGGCGCCGCTGCTGCGCACGTTTTGCTGGAAAGCTCCAGCAAATGGCTCTGCTGGCGTCTCAAATGCTTCAATATAAGTGTGCACTGCGTTGCAAAGCGCAGAGAATTCCTTATAAGCCCGCGTCTCTGGAATCTAAGAGCGACGTGCCTGCACGGCCACGCTAACTGCGCACAGATCCCGGCTGCCCGCCTTCCCCGGGGCCCTCCAGGCACTCTAAAGGCCTTATGAACAGACCCAGTTTTCTGGCGAAGACATAAAGTGCTTCCTGGGGCCCTTAGGCAGCATGCACTGTGTAGGGGCCCCCCGGGGCTCGGGTGGGTGAAGGCACAGCGGGACACACTAAGCACTCAATCTGGGGGGACAGGGGGGCCCCTGGGGGCCCCTGTGGAGGCCCGGGGGCCCTTTATGAACGTTTTAATTACAAATTCGGGGCATGTAGGAGACAGGATACTCCCGAGAGCTGCTGTTTCACCCGAGGTGTTGCTGTGCGCACAGGCTGAGGGGTGGTAAGGGCAGCGCTGCGTTGCGGCGCGGGCAGTGTTACTCGGTGTTTGTTTGTTATTTTGGGTTATTGAATGAAAATAAGAATTTAGTTCTTGAAATAAAACGGAAAAGGGGGAATAACGCGGACCCCTGCTGCTGCGCCGCCGTGCTTGCCGCTGTGCCAGGAACTCACCAGGCCACCGCCGTTTGCTGTGTTGCTGCTGCTGCTCTCGGCGCTGCAAGGGCTTAAGTCTTCTGTTTAAATGGTTAAAACCAAAAGGTGTGTTTAGGCGTAATTGTTTATTGTTTAATTTGAGTTTGGGGTTTCAGTAAAGAGTCATTTCGCCGTTTTTTGCGGCGAAGACCCGCTCAGAATGCGCACGCGCCGGCAGAGGGATGAAAAGGCATGCACGGTGCAGCTGCCGTTTCTCTAGCTTTACGTGCTGCTGAAACTGTTGCAAACTTATTAATAATTAGTTTTAATCCGTACAGTGTGCTGCGGTCTCTGCTCCACGGCCAGCCCCCGACCTGCCCCCGATCCTTGCCTGAGGACGGGCAGCAGCAGCTCGGGGAGCAGCGGTTGCTGCGGCTGCTGCTGCTGCTGCTGCTGCTGCTGCTGCTGCGCCTCGAATCAATATCGGTGTCTCTTTTATCTGATTCCATGCTGCATCTCAAGGCATGATCGACTGGCTTTTCGGTCAGGGGCGAGTAGTCCGCCACGGCTTCAGCAGCAGGAGCAGCAGCAGCAACGGGAGCAGCAGCAGGAGCAGCAGGAGCAGCAAGAGGCTGTGGTGCGGTGTACATACACCCCAGGCTTGGGTTTCTTCTCAAACCCATCTGTAGCTTTTTTATCTCACTCATTATTCATCTTCGGTGCCGCAGTTCCGTTGCTGCGGAAGCCAAGGATCTTCTGAGGGCAGCACCTGCTGCTGCTGCTGCTGCTGTTGCCGTTGCTGCTGCTGCTGCAGCAAGAAAGCAGCAGCTGACGCAGCAGCAGCACCAGAAGCTGCATGGACATCCAAACTAACTGAAGAAGGATGCGTAACAAACTTACAGAGACGGCGCGGGGCCACAGGGACTCGCTGAGGGAAACACACGGAGGCCTCACTGCAGCAGCAGCAGCAGCAGCAGCAGCAGCAGATGCGACAAGGCACGCAGCAGGAGGCCCTAGCGGGCCCCAATGCTCCTGCAGCCATTTCAGCCAAAATTAACACTATGAATGCTCAGCAGCTGACTCAGCAGCACCTGCTGCAGCAGCAGGCGCTGCAGCAGCAACTCTTGTTGCAGCGCCAGCAGCAGCAGCAACAACAACTTATTGTGCAGCAGCACCATCAGCGGCTGCAGCAGCAGCACGCTTTGCACCGCCAACAGCAGCTCATGCTTGCGCAAGCCCAGGGTGTGCATCCTTCGGCGCAGGCTGCTGCGCTGCTGGCACTGCAGCAGCAGCAGCAGCAGCAGCAACAGGCAGTCTCGACAGCAGCAGCATTTGCAGCTGCCAGCCTTGGCGGTGGGAATGGGGCCGCAGCGGCAGCAGCAGCAGCTGCAGCGGCGCGCGCCCGCGCTGCTATGGACACGGCAATGCAGCAGCAGCTGCAGGAGCAGCTGGTTAGGCTGCAGCAGCAGCGGGAGCACCAGTTCCTTGAGCAGCAGCAGCAGCAGATGCTGCAGCAGCACCGGCAGCAGCATCAGCAAACAACAGATGCATGGCGCCTGTTCGCTGGCGCTGGAGGGAGAGCCGCAGGTGAGGCTCCGCGCTGCTGCTGCTGCTGCTGCTGCTGCTGCTGCTGCTGCTGTCACTCAGTCCCCTAATTGCAGCAGCAGGGTCTTCTGTTCGGCCTATTGCGTTAAAGAAACAGATGCAGCAGCAGCGGAAGCAGCAGCACTTGCTGCTGCTGCTGCTGCGTCTCGCTGTTGTTGCTTTTGGAGCTGCTGCGGGAGTGCAGTTTGTTCGTTGCTGTTGCTGCTGTTGACGCAGTGCTGCTGTTGCTGCTGCTGCTGGGTCTGTAAATATGTGGTTTTTGCTGCACCGAGGTACCCCGTTGCTGCTGCTGCTGCTACTGCTGCTGCTGCTGCTGCTGCTCCTTTGTGCAGCTCTCAGCTTTGCGGCGCATCAGCAGACGGCGGTTGCGCAGCGGCAGCAGCAAGCAGCAGCTGCTGCTGCTGCCATGAGCGATGGTGCAGCAACAAAGCTTACTGGAGCACCAGCAGCAGCAGCAAGCATGCCTTTAGACGTGACAGCAGTCCCTGCTGCGCCTGCAGAAGTTCAAGAAGCAAATGCAGCAGCAACGACGACAGCAGCAGCAGCAGCAGCAGCAGCAGCAGCAGCAGCAGGCGGCCGCGAGCCAATTGCGCCATGTGGAGCGCCCGTTGCGGCGACACCCGTGGTGCCGACAGCAGCAGCAGCAGCAGCAGTGATGCCTGCAGCAGCACCACCAACAATTATGCCAGCAGCAGCAGCAGCAGCAGCATCAGCAGCAGTTGGGCCCGCAGTAGCGCCTGCAGCAGCAGCACCCGCGCCAGCTGCAGCTGTGGCAGCACCCGCAGCGGCGGCGGTGCCCGAGGCCGCAGCAGCAGCAGCAGCAGCAGCAGCAGCAGCCACGCCGGCGGCGGCGCCTGCTGCAGCAGCCCAAGGGCCGCGCTGCAGCAGCAGCAGCTCGCGCAGCCGCAGCAACAGAACAGCAGCAGCAAAAGGTGGCGGTGCTGCTTGCGGGCGGCGTGTGGGGCGGCCTGTGCGCAAGGGCCACGGGTCTTCGGGCGTATCTGTAGCAGCAAGGGATGCAGAAGCAGCAGCAGCAGCAGCAGCAGCAGCAGCAGCAGGCATTGACAAGGAAACACCCACGGAGACGATCCCGCAGCCCCGAAGGATCCCAGCGGATGCCTTCAGAGTGCCCACTGTGCCAGACGAAGATTACTTCTCCACAGTTCCGGGCTGCTACTACCACTTTGGTCTGCTGCTGCTGCTGCTGCTGCTGCTGCTGCTGCTGCTGCTGCTGCTGCTGCTGCTGCTGCTGCTGCTGCTGCT